TAAGAAATAATTTTCAATATTTGTTGAATAGATTGTTGCAGTAAAAGGGATCAATACAACAATATCTTATCTAAACCTGGTTACAATAACTATCTTTTCACTATCCTAAGCATTTTCTTCCACATTGGGAAAATATTACTGCCAAGTGCCCATTTATAGATTGTATTACTAGACACAAATCTATATTTTTCCCTCAATCTGCACTTTTAGTTCACTTATTTCATTAGTTTTCTGTCTTCATGAAGAGAATGGTCTCAGTACAAAGAAATAATAAATGTTTGAGATGACAGATATGCCAATTACCCTGATCTATTCATTATACATTTTACACATGAACTGGAATGTCTCACTGCACCCTGTAACTATGTGCATTACACATCAGTTAAAAATCCATTAGTTAAAAAAGTTAATGAGAAATAATAATCAGAACAACTCTATGACCATGAATTCTCAAAAACAAGAATAATTTTTCTATTTAGGGGCAACCCTATTTCTATTGTTTCAAAAAATGAGCTGATATACCGGCGCCGCGGCTCACTAGGCTAATCCTCCGCCTAGCGGCGCTGGCACACCAGGTTCTAGTCCCAGTCGGGGCGCCGGATTCTGTCCTGTTTGCCCCTCTTCCAGGCCAGCTCTCTGCTGTGGCCAAGGAGTGCAGTGGAGGAGGGCCCAAGTGCTTGGGCCCTGCACCCCATGGGAGACCAGGATAAGTACCCGGCTCCTGCCATCGGATCAGTGCTGTGCGCCGGCCGCAGCGCACCGGCCACAGCGGCCATTGGAGGGTGAACCAACGGCAAAGGAAGACCTTTCTCTCTGTCTCTCTCTCTCACTGTCCACTCTGCCTGTCAAAAAAATAAATAAAAAAATTTAAAAAAGGTATTTATTAAAAAAAAATTAGCTGAGTCCTCCTGATGGAGAAGTCATACAAAGAATTTCATGCCACTTATATTTTCCCAGTTTTCTCTTAGATGTGCTTATCTAAACCAAGAGCATCTTTAATGTAAACTTGTAGCTCAGTCTCTATTCCAGCTTGCCCACTTTGCCAAGTCTCTCAATCTGATCATCTTTCGCTAATTATATACCACACAATAGCCTAGCCTAGATAAATTACCTTGGATTTATCTTCACACAAATTGTGTATTTAGAAACTACCAACATAATTGTGAAATATTGTATATAAAGACTTTTAAGCCTGCCATATTTACTGGAAATGGCTGAACTGTGGGCTTACTCCAGAATCAGGGGAACTGTGATTTCAACATGACCGTTGCCACAGAGTGTACTGGCAACCTGATGTCCTTGTTTTCTGTGTCAAGTTTCCCACCCCTCTCCTTCCCCATCTCTCTCACACACATCTGAATAAGCCATACAAATTTTATAGGACAACATAATGTTTGTTTTACATCTTGTTCAGCATGCTTTTGTAAAGCTAAGCAAACACACCAAATTAAAATCCTTTGTATCCTGTGTGATTGTTTACTACTTTAACCTGGGACATCACTTACAAGCTTTATATTTTCTTTTTTAAAAATTTTAGTGTTTAATTCTTTTTTTGTTTCATTTACTTTTATTTATTTTCCCCCCAGAAACCTTTTATTTAAGGAATACAAACTTCATGAATATCATAATTACAACTTTAGGAACATAGTGATTCTTCCTACCATATCTGCCCTCCCACCCACACTCCTACCCCTCTCTCCTATTCCAGTTCTTATTTTTTACTAAAATCTATTTTCAATTAACTTTATACATACATGAATAAAAACTATTCCTCAACTGCCAAGACAAGGGCTGTTCAAAGTCATCGCATCTCAAAGTGTCATATTTGTTCATATTCTAGTATGCATTGTCAGCACTAAAGACAAATATATTTTTTAAAAAATTCTATAACAAATATAAATTTGTTCAGATTATTTGGAAAGAAACATTAATACTAAAAATATTAAAGATTCTCACTACAAAGATGAAATTGGCACAAGAATATTTCTGAGAATTGTCCTGATAAATTGCTCTAAATCTACATTATTGAAACTTTTCTGATTAATTTCATGTTGACATACTTCATCAGGGTAGTAAGGTTTATCCTGTCACTGTCATCACAAATAGATTTATTAATTTATAAATTATTAATAATTGAATAATTTATTTGGACAATGACTTTCAAAACTTGTGGATACTGGTGTTTAAATTTTACTTTGCAATTAAGATTATTTTATTGAAAATAAAAGACTATCCTGGTTTCTGAGTAATAAATGCTACTGTAATGGCATATTTTTGTAAAAAGGGCTGCCAATTTTCATTGTATTAACTACAACCTATTGTTTAATGGTCTGAATCATACATAAAATTTAAAAGATGCTTTAATAAAATTTAATTTTAATGTCATATCCATGCATCTATAAAATACAGATGACTTAACATTCCAATATGTTCCTGAAGTAATAGTAACCTGAATATTAGGTGGGCCTCACTTTCAAATACTATCTATTGAGAAATGATTTCCACAGAAACAGAGCAATATGCTGATTTTAGATGTACAGCATCTTGCAATAGCAAAAAAAAGGTATGAATTGCTAAAGAAGTGGTGTCCTTCACATTCTCTGAGGACATTGTCACATCTATAGTTGTTGTTTTTTTTTTTTTTTGACAGGCAGAGTTAGAAAGTGAGAGAGAGACAGACAAAGGTCTTCCTTCTGTTTGTTCACCCCCAAATGGCCACTACAGCCAGCGTGCTGCGCCGATCTGAAGCCAGGAGCCAGGTACTTCCTCCTGGTCTCCCATGCGGGTGCAGGGGCCCAAACACTTGGCCATCCTCCACTGCCTTCTTGGGCCACAGCAGAGAGCTGGACTGGAAGAGGAGCAGCCAGGACAGAATCCGGTGCTCTGACCGGGAATAGAACCCGGGATGCTGGCGCCGCAGGCGGAGGATTAGCCTAGTGTGCAGCGGCGCTGGCCCACATCTATAGTTTTTGACATCGGGATTTTGGGACTAGTTATGTCCACAGGAGATTGTACAATACACATTACTATCAAAATGTCATATGTCAAATTAATGTCTCCTTTATGTAGGAATAAATTGGTTGTGATAGAAAAAAATTTTTTCTATCTGCAGAAATACATTTTCTACTTTTTTTGACAGGCAGAGTGGACAGTGAGAGAGAGAGACAGAGAGAAAGGTCTTCCTTTGCCGTTGGTTCACCCTCCAATGGCCGCTGTGGCCGGTGCGCTGCGGCCGGCGCACCGCGCTGATCCGATGGCAGGAGCCAGGTACTTATCCTGGTCTCCCATGGGGTGCAGGGCCCAAGCACTTGGGCCATCCTCCACTGCATTCCCTGGCCACAGCAGAGAGCTGGCCTGGAAGAGGGGCAACTGGGACAGATTCCGTTGCCCTGACTGGGACTAGAACCCGGTGTGCCGGCATCACAAGGCGGAGGATTAGCCTAGTGAGCCGCGGCACCGGCCACGTTTTCTTTTTTAATGCAAGTATCTATTAATCCATCTATTTATTAAGGTAGGAAAAATACTTAAATATTTCACCTCTAGAAATGGAAGAAATGTGAAAATACATATATTGTCAATCATTTTATATTCTATATTGTTAGAGTTCTCTAAAATGGAGTGGTCTTGGCAGTAACTGAAGGATGGAATTTTTTCATCTTAAAAAGGGAAAATTAAGTAAGGGAGATTAAAATTTAAAAAAAATATTTTAGTTTTTGTGTATCAAGTAGCCAAAAGGTAAGAGGGACTTGAATTTCTCAGCTGTGTATTGAGTGAGTAACCTCCAAGGAACTCCTTAATCAAGCAGTTTATCATTCTCATGTTTGGCTTAATACTCTGATTTCATCAACATCACCCAAATTCACCCTACTGTGTACTGCATGTAGGCCTCTATTTTCTTACCATCTGTGCTCAATAACTTTGCACATTGTATGGAAATAATCATACTGAATATTAACTGCTGTGTTTTCTTGTGTATTCAGCTACATAGCACATGGAAAGGAAAACCATCAGGGTGTTACAACATTCATTCCTTCTCTGAAAAGGAGCTATGTGTTCCAGTGTAAGGGATCTTGCAAAGGAAATATTAAGAATTCAGTTTCAAAGTACATAAATACTCAGACAAAATACTTCAACACTGAACACTTGGAATTGTTTACCTAATTTTCAAAACAGAAAAAAATTATAGACATATGCATAGAAAAAGTACATTAAAATAAACTAATACATGATATTATTTGCTGAAGCTGCCAGTGTATAAGAGAACACATATGCCCTAAAATGAGGACATCAATCATTAAACACCAAATGATATAATCTGCTGGATAATATTCCTAAAGAAATATATTAACCATTAATTGGGCTACTATGATGGAATGTTTTACTTTCTACTGAAGAATTATATAGAAAGCACATGAACTAAAATCATACAGCTCAATAAACGTATACCATCCAAACAGCAAATATTCAACACAAAGATATAGAAGTTACAAGCCTTCTAGAAACAACCTAGGTGTCTTATTTCTATGACTATCTTACACCACAGATACAACATCTCACATAGCTTCTCATGTTTCAAAAATGAAAAAAGAGTGCAAGTCAATCTATAACGATACAATTAGAAGTAGTTATATATTATAATAGACCACAAAGACCTTATGAACCATGGAATATCTATCTTGGAAACTTGATAATTAAATAGATGAGGAAAGTGTGATAATATTTTAGCACAAATGGATTTCACTTCAGTGATTTTTGATATTAAATTTCAAAAAAACTCCTTTAATTCTACATTTTTTTCCATAAAAGCAGAAATGATGAAACAAGAAATGATATGGATCTAATATTGTAGGTGGCCTTGGGGAGTATCTCAATGAAGAAAAGGACATTATCATGACAATATCCTCAAATAAGCTGCTGAAAACATGAGCACAGAACCTAATATTAACCTGGGGCAGAGCACATGACATATGAATTCTGAAGATACTGATTTAACTACTCACCCTTCTTCTCTAAAGTGAAGGACCAGGTGCCTGCCCTTCTACCTCAGCAAAACATAACAGAAAGAAAAGCAAAGACATCCTCTTAGAAAATATTCAGCAGTAAAAGAACAAAGGTGACTGACATTGGTTCTATTGTCAATATTCAACATAGGCATTCAAAGTTTCCTTCTTTTACCACAACAGTAATGACTTTGAATACATATCATAATTACTTGCCCCTTGCAAATTTTGTAAATTTGCTAATTTTTACTCAATAACATGTTTCTTATATACAAATATTTATGTATAAGTTTCTGTTAAAGCAAAATGAAGCAACTCGAGTCAGTGAACACATTGGTTTATCATAAAATGCTAATGCCTGTTCTGAGACCAAGAAAAGGCATGTTTACAATGGTACATTGTTACTAGGGGATCACCAGGCTCTGAGAGTCTTATTTACCCTATTACAGAACCACTCATCTGGACCTCAGATTGACATCTGGAATGAGTCCCTCAGCATCCTCAGACACTTGTTCTCATCATCGATCCAGACAAGCACCCTCCCAGAAAATAAGTATTTCTATAAATAAGACTTCACAAAATAAATCTAACACATGAGTGAACAGTAAATTGTACAGTGGACATTTTTAGTACCTAAATAATGGAGCTCTCATACATATATATATATATATGGCACAAAAAATAGGATTTAGGTTATTTTAATAAAATTAGATAAAATCTAATTGAAAAATTTAAAACAAATTTTTAAATTTGGTCAACTAAAATTTTAAAGATTAAAATAAAAAATATGATTATAGTACAAATATGAGTAGAAACATTCATGTTCTGAGTTGCCAGATAAGGATAAAAAATCAATATTTAGCTCATTTGAAGTTCATTACAAGATTTTTTTCTCCTAACACAAAATGGTGAGAAAAGGAAATAGGTCAATGATAACCCAACTTATTTAGGTTGCCTCAAAAATAAAGGATTTTAAAATAGGTAGAAACAAAGTAGGGATACTCATGGGGAAATTTATCTGCCATAAAATTATTCTCTGTTGAGCCTCTGAAATAATAAACTCACAGACCTTGGAAGTTCTGATGTCATTGGTCATAGAACACACAAAGCATTTCAAAAGCAACAGAGTAGTTGCTCACCTGTGATCTCTGAAGTACAATAACTGATTCTAGCCTTTAACCTGTAGCAAAATAGCACAAAGAAAATAAGACATCAGAAAACACATCAATTTAATTAAAAATGAAATACATTGGTTCCATTATAATTATCATAAAGTCATTCCAGCACTTACAGTCCTTACCAGTAATGACCAGTTGTTTGATTTTTGTCACCTTTATCATTTCATTTATTTTCTCCTTGAATTCTTACAAATAGCCAATAATATCCTTTAAAAAGCTATCCAATAACTGACCCAGCAGTTGTCTCTTAAATGAGAAATTATAAAGTTGCATTCAAACAACAGAAGTTTTATTAAAATGCTACATGATATGAAAAATGAAAGGTACAGTATAGTGGTATTATGAGAGTATGAGCCAGTTCTGAAAGCATTATTTTTCTATTCGATGGACACACAGTTGACCATCATCGTCCTAAGATATTTGCTTATCTTTGATCCAGACAAGTCCACTTCTAATAATAATTCCCCATATCACACTAATAATCTAACATTTTTATCTCCTGTATTCAGCTCACAGTAGATAACAGAACAGGTGGACATTTGAGAGGGTTTCATTACAGGTATCAGTCACTCACTGGAAGAAAAAATAGCCACACTCATAGTGTATGAATGAGTAGATGTAATAAAGGCCAGAGTTCACTAGTCTAATGGTATTTTTGGAATTTTTTAAATCACCAATGGTAGAGAATGGCATACTTCTTGCTGGTGGAACATTAAGAAATACACAATAGAGCTAAAAAATAAGTCAAGAAATCCATGCTAACCATGTTTGAGTATGAAGACTAAAGACACTAAGTATAGAATAAAATAATTTTAAAATGTTCTTAGATTCAGATAGAAAGTTTCTTCCCACCTAGCCCAAATTAGAATTGTAACCTCATCCCTAAATCTAATGACTTTCCAAATCTTGTTGCGAAGACTGTAACTTATTTTGGGCTTCATCATCATTCTGTTGAGCCTAATTTTTACATCATTACATTTCCACACACATCCACTTAATTTTGTAAACACTTACCAGAATTACATCCTTAAAGCACGATTCAAAGGGATGGGAGACCAGTTAGATTCACTGAAGTATATCTGAGTTATAGTAGTTGTATAAGTAGCAACATCACAAAGGGTACTCTTCTCCATTAGTCTTTATCTGGAAGCAAACAGATAGGACAATAGGAATTGGACTAAAAGTGCTCTAATATTACTTAATGAAATTCTGCAAAAATGTGAATATTTTTGGAGAGGATTCCACTAAGCAGACCAATCGTTTATGATCAGAAAATCCATCAGGGGTTGGCATTGTGGTGCAGTGAGTTAACCTGCTGCCTCTGATGCTGGCATCTCATATGAGCACTGACTGAAGACCTGGCTGCTCCACTTCCAATCCAGCTCCCTGCTAATAGCCTGTGAGAACAGCAGAAGGTGGCCCAAGTACTTGGGCCCATGCCTACACCCACATGGGAGACCCGGATAAAGCTCCTGGCTTTGACCTGGACCAGCCCTAGCTGTTACAACCATTTGGAGAGCGAATGAATAGATGGAAGATCTCTCTCTCTCTCTCTCTCTTCCCCTCCCTGTTTTCCTCTTTCCCTCCCTCCCTCTCCATCCCCAACTCTTCTTTCAAAAAATGACTGATTTATTTATTTGAATGGCAGAGTTAGAGAGAGGAAGGAAGAGACAGAGAGAAAGAGAAGTCTTCCATCCGCTGGTTCACTCCCCAGATGGCTGCAACAGCTGGGGCTGGGCCAGGCTGAAGCCAGGAACTTCTTCTGGGTCTCCCACATGGGTGAAGGGCACAGCACTTGGGCCATGCTCTGCTGCCTTCCCAGGTTCATTAACAGGGAGCTGGATCAGAAGTGGAACAACCAGGACTCAAACTGGTGCCCATATGGGATACAAGAGCAGCTGGCAGAGCTTTAACCATCTACACATCAGTGCTGGCCCCAACTCTGCCTTTCAAATAAATAAATAAATCTTTAAAAAAAGAAAATTCATAATGGTACTCATGGTGACTGAATTTGTGAACCTAAACCTTTCAAATTCCATACTAATAATAATTTTCCTCATTTTTAAAATTTATTTGACAGATAGACAGTGAGAGAGACAGAGAGAAAGGTCTTCCTTCCGTTGGTTCACCCCCCAAATGGCCTCTTCGGCTGGCACGCTGCACTGATCCGAAGCCAGGCGCCAGGTGCTTCCTCCTGGTCTCCCACGCGGGTGCAGGGGCCCAAGCACCTGGGCCATCCTCCACTGTCTTCCCAGGCCACAGCAGAGAGCCGGACTGGAAGAGGAGCAACCGGGACTAGAACCTAGCACCCATATGGGATGCCGGCACCACAGGCGGAGGATTAACCAAGTGAGCCACAGCGCCAGCCGATTTTCCCTATTTGTAATATACACTTTATTATTCTGACAACAGTGGTGTCGCATGATGTTCAGGAGATGAAATTTGGGTATTGATTTAGCCACATTATTTGATTTTAAGCTTCAGAGGCAAAGCACATACTGAATTCTCACATTTCCCTTCTTTATGATGGTCCTACAGTTACGGAAATTTCACTAGCAACAGCACATAGTGCAACACTGTTAGAATCTCACAATAATATAAAAAAAATTTTGTATAGTCAGGCATATGCACTCAAATGAAATATTAAATATTGGACTGGGTAACACTGAGTCAAAAATTCTATACTGTTCAATAAGAATATTTGAGAAAATGATGTTTATGTCAATCAGAAAAATTCATATTGATATTCAAGTGCAACAAGCAGGAGGACATGTTTGGGGACCCTGGTGTGGCTTTCAGTACATCAAGGTATCCAGCCTCAAAAACCCAAAGTCCTCTTCCACCAAAGTCACTAGAATGAATTTGTATAATCTCAGTAAACATGACTTTTAAGTCATCATCTCTCAAAACAAAGTCTCATCATGGACCCAAAACAGAATAACCTGTGACTCTGGACATGGGTCTCTGATGCTACTGGGGGTGAGAATCGTTTTTCTGCCAAAGGCCATTTGGATATTTATAACATCACTCACGGGCCACACAAAATTATCAACTAAATATTAGCTTGCTGTAGATTTATTGTATTTTTTTAAATATTTATTTATTTATTTTATTTTTATTATTATTTTTTTTTTGACAGGCAGAGTGGACAGAGAGAGAGAGAGAAAGGTCTTCCTTTTGCTGTTGGTTCACCCTCCAATGGCCGCCGCGGCCAGCGCGCTGATCCGATGGCAGGAGCCAGGAGCCAGGTGCTTCTCCTGATCTCCCATGGGGTGCAGGGCCCAAGCACCTGGGCCATCCTCCACTGCACTCCCGGGCCACAGCAGAGAGCTGGCCTGGAAGAGGGGCAACCGGGACAGAATCCGGCGCCCCGACTGGGACTAGAACCTGGTGTGCCGGCGCCGCTAGGCGGAGGATTAGCCTATTGAGCCGCGGCGCCGGCAGATTTATTGTATTTAAAGTCAGCCTGTGGTTGCCTCAGCTGGGCCAGACCAAATGGTTTTGTGGGCCAGAGATGACCTGCGGGCCAGATGTTCCCCACCCCCGCACTAGGTAGGTAAGATGATTCCTTTTCCAAGGTAGCAGCAGAGTCAATGCATTCACTGTTGAGCACTTGGCCAACAGGCATCGCCCCCGGGGCACAAGAACCAACAGGAATTTGCCTGCAGTAGCATTAAGTGGGTCAAAAAGAGTAGGATAAGTGCCAAAACAGAGTACTGTCCTGGTGTCGGGATGGTGGCTCACACAGGGATATCTTCAGTAAAATGAAGTGAGCAGTCCTGAAAAGGGACTCTTGTTGATGGCTGGGGACAGTGAGTCCAATATGTGGGAAATACAGGGTCGATGATTCACTTGTTGGGGAAAGATATTTGGGCTGTGTCGGGCCTTAAGTCAAAACATCCCACTACTCCTTTCTGATTCAGCAAACCAGTAAAAACACCAAGACAAAGGTCAAACAGGGAACCGTGGCTGCTGTCTATGGCCAAAAAGAATGTTAGGCAAGGGGCTCTCCTAGGGGAGACATGTGAATATCCATTCCCAGGTGAACTCAATGATCAGACAAGGTCTTAACCATACATGCTCCAGTTAGTTCAGGTTTTTTGCCAGAGACTTTTTGTCACCATAGTCCACTCTAAAATAAGTACTACAAGCACAACAGATGATAAGGCAAAAATACTGACTTTGGAGAAAATACTTTTGTCTTTCACATTGTGGACAAGACATTCCTACTGGGGAGATGAAAGGCTGGTTCAGGACATTTCTATCTTGTACCATAGACAATTAGGGTAAAAACTGCTTGTTTTGTTTAAAATTAAGCTTTGTGTATCAGTCAAAAATGGAGAGGGTAATATATCAACATGATTGATGTACTTGTGACTAAGAGAAGCAGTCAAAACACAATCCTGAATGACAAGATGCCCTCAGAGGTTTCCCCTGATTTAGAGTTATCCACCAACCAACCCTGGGAAGATCATGGGCTGCATGCAAAACACAGAGCTGAGGGAAAAAGAGGCATCCCCATGGTGGGGACTCACTTTTATGGGGCCCAAACACTAATTTCTATTGCCAACAATAGCCAGGAACTGGATCCCCTGTATTACTAAATATCTACCCAAAGTCCAAAGGCATTCTAAATCACCTGAAGCCAAAAATGACTAAGAGAACACAGGCCTTATATGGAACTCATTTGAGAGGGCCTTAATTGCCTGGGCCCCAGAAAAAATTTTGTTGATTAGCTGCTGACCGGGGCAGGTGTTCAGGTACAGTGTGATTGGCCTCAGAAACCAATTTCAGGTCATCTACTCAGACTACCTACGCCCCTGCCCAAACTCAGACCCATGACAGGCACTCACCTGGGACTATGAGTCTGAGGGTGCCACACCAGGGGGCATGTCTCACTGAAAGACACAAAGGGATGAAGAGCTGAGGAGAGAGCTGCTAGCATGGCCTCACCTCTGCCAGGGTGAGGTGTACAACACGCCCAAGAAGGAAAGAGCTTGGGCGGATCACACACCAGCAGCCCCTCATGCCTGAGAACTGCATCCTGGTCTGGGGGGCCTCAAGGTCTCCAGTCCCCAGGGTCTCATCCCCTGAGAGACATGTGGAGCCCCCAGGGCCTGCTTGCACCACAGTCACTAGGCTGGGCCTCAGTGCAATCCTACTGAGCATGATTTTTAAGTTCACATCTCTCTTCGAGACAGTATGAGGTCTCATCATTGACCCAACCCCAGGACCCACACCATGGGATCCCATTGGTGCTGTCCTACCTCCAGGGCCCAGAGAGATTGGCTTACCTCAGGCAGTCTCAGATGTTTCCTTCTGCCAGTGGAGCTGGCAGCACCAGCTCATAGGCCGCTGGAGCTTTGACCACAGCCCTCGCCCCTGGGGAAGTGGAAACCACAAGGGCTTCCTCTGCTGACATCACCTGTGGGACAGGGAGGGGGTTGGGTGTAAACAGACAGCAGAAGCCAGCTTGGGGTATATACACTGGTTCCAGAGTGTGCTTTCACCCCATCAGCCAAGGTGAGGCTTTCCAAGTGGGCATCCATGTTGGCATGGTGGATTGGACAAGCTCTCCCCACCTCACCCACAAACTGCTGAGCCTGTTGAGGCTCACCTGCGCTGCGTCACCCTGCCTGGAGGGGCTACCCCCACTGCTCCTTTCTACCCCCTTACCTTAAGCTCCTGGCCAGGACCCAGGCAGGACCACCAAGCACTGGCATGGTCTTGGCAGTCTTGGCCCCACAGGACTGGTCACGTGAGACACATCAAGGAGGCCCCCATGGTGCCCTGGGCCTAACATGGCTTACCCACCAGGCTGGGGCACTCGGGTGCAGGTACATGCACATACTATATCCTGGAAGCTTTCCTTATAGTGTCGTTCCCCACCCCAGTCCTGCATGCATTCCCAAGATCGGGCATGGGTTATGTGCTGAAAGCAGGCTTCACCATGGCTGACCCCTTCCCATGGAACCCTGGTACTTCTCCCCTCCCCTAGAAGTGAGAGCCATGGCCCAGGAGGTGAACTGGCATGATTGCTGGGCTCAACTCTGAAATTCACCTGTTTCACTAAATATTGGCAGCACCTGCCTGAGGAAGGGGCGTGCAGAGCGAGCTCCTTCAGGCTCCCTGGCTTGGGGCACTCAAGTCAAGGGTCCAAACCTGCCTGATCAGGCACTGGTCAGAGTGTCCCTAATACTTAGGATCAACCTTCCACACAACCCACATGAAGCTCCCAGGCTACCTGACATGGGCACAGCTGGCTGCCCTGCCAAGCCTTACTCCCTGTGTGGGTTTGTGACCTGGGCCTCCTACACAATCTCAGACCCCCCAATCCCCCCCACGAATCCAAAGACCTGATCCCAAGTCCACATACCACACACTTCTGCCCACAGAAGCAAGGCAACCCAGAGCTGTTGCAGCCCACACACAGGCCAAGAGGCAGCACTGGCCCCTGTGACCCTTCTCTTAGGAACTGTTTCTATCCCTCACTAGGCCCCTGCACTAGGCCAGGGTTTCAGGCAAGGCATTCTGGGCTTCAGAGCCCAAAGGGAACACAGCTCACCCAGGAGCACTGTCTGAGGCTGCCTTTCTGTGGCTCTGTGGGTCCAGCCCTCTGGTTCACTTTGGGTGACCTGCCCGGATCCCATACTCTGCCCCCAACAGGCCTTATGAAGCCTGCCATCCTCTGACCTGGGATCCTGGCTACCACATCTCACTAAAAGGCACAAGGGGATGAAGGAAGCTGGGGAAGGAGCCCCCAGTGCAGCCCTGCCCCTCGGCCATCAGGGAGCACACACAGCCCAAGGTAGAAGGAGCTTGGGCTGCCCCTGTGTAACTGAAATGAAGGCATCGTCCCTTCCCTTTTCATATTTAGGGTGGCACGGGCCATCTGCAGGTGTTGTAAACTACCTGTGACTACTGAATAATAATGTTTGCCTGGGAAGTGAAGAACCCTACTCAAAAGAGGTGATTTGGAAACAGATTCACACTGCTGCAGAGAAGGTGTACAGCATCAATTGCACACAGCTGAGCCCCATTATCAAGAAGACTCCAACCAGATGGACCATCAACAGAACAAAGTCCAAGAATCTGACTAATCACCAGCTCACTTAGCTTATTGTTCTCCATCTCATCCTGCAGCTACCACTTTCCTTTAAAAGCCCTCTTTTCTGACCCTCAGGGCAGGAGAGAGCAGTGTGGATCAAGAGGTCTTTCTTTCTGCTGCCATGCTGCCTACCTGAAATCATTTCTTTCCTCTGACCAACTCTTCAATCTGATGACTAGAGCAGCAAGGTCCTGAATATATGTCCAGAAATACATGGAATAATGGCAGCTCATGCATGGGCTGCAACAAGCTCCCTATGCAGCTGTCCTACCTGCAAGGAAGCCCAGAGCACTTGCAGCCCATACAGGATGAATGGTGACTCTAGGAACCGTTTCCATTTCCTCACTCAGCCCCAGAATGAGAGCAGGAGCTCAAGGAAAGTTTGCATGGCCTCAGAGCCCAGCAGCACAGCTAATGCAGGAGTACTGCCCGAAGCTGCCTTCCTGTGGCTCCTGGGGTCCATCCTTCAGGCTCACTTCAACTGACTCACACAACCCCCTGCTCCCCTGCCCAGGCTTCATGACTCCCCACCAACCACTCGCTAGGGACCCGGGGTGCAAGGATGCCCTGCTGGGCAACCCCTGAAAGACACAAAGAGACAAAAGGAGCTGAAGGAGCCCCCCACTGCAGCTCTGCAACTCCAAGAGTAGGGAGCACACACCAAGCCCAAGGAGGAAGGAGTTTGGGTGGATCCTGCATGAGCAGCCACTTATACCTGGGGACTATGCCCTGGCTAGGGGAGCCATGAGGTTTCCAGTCCCTAGGGTCTCCTTCTGTGGAAGGCACATGGGGGTCCTCTTACACCATTGTCACTAGGCTGGGCCTTGGTGTAATCCTATTGAGCATGATTTTTAAGTCATCATCTCTCTTCGAGACAGTATGAGGTCTCATCATCAACCCAACCACAGGAACCATATCACAGGATCCCTGAGCTCTTAGACCCACCTCAAGGGCCCAGATGGATTGGCTTACCATAGGCAGTTCCATACATTTATTTTGTCAATGAGGCTGGCACCACCAGCTCATGGGCCACTGGAGACTTGATATAATCTGTGGGACAAGAAGAGGGATGGGTGTGAACAAACTGCAGGAGCAGGCTCAAAGTGCACTGGTTCCACTTATGCTTTCGACCCCTTGGCCCAGGTGAGGCTTCTCAGGCAGTCAGCCCAGCTGGCGTGGCGGGTTAGGCAAGCTCCACCCACCGTGCCCATGAACTCCTGGGCCTATTGGTTATGGGGCCAGAGTGGTCCAATCGGACCCTATGGCCCTTAGGAAAGGGTTACTATCACCGCTCTTTCTTGTCCCCAAAACACAGGGCCCGGCTGGGACCCATTCTGGACAAGCATGCACTGGCACAGCCCCACAAAACCTCCCACCCTGCCTCGGTTGCTCCACGGCCAGGGCCTCCTACTGCAATAGCTGATAGTAGAGGAGAGCAATTCCTGGCCAATGACTAAAATGTTCTAGCTGATCTGGCCAATGCACTAAGATGTTACAGCTCGCTTGAGCCTCAATAACTTGCTTCAGCCATGAAGTCTCAAACAATTGAACAAACTGAGAAGGTAATTTTTAGCAAGACTATTATTGAAAAGAGCAGAGAGAGAAAGAGCAGAGGGAAAACTCCCAGGAAAGCAGCTGGGAGGGTTGTTTTCCAGAAGGAAAAAGCCCCTGGAGGGATGTGACCTAAGGGCTTTCTGTCCACTGGAAAGTTTGTACAATTTTGCTTAAGAAAAGCATTTTTTTTTATATGGTGAGCTCATCCTGCCTTCTTATCTCCCATTTCTCAAATTTAGTTGTGACTTCTATGGGGCAGGAACAAGTTCTATCTGTTGGGAGGAGTTGAGTGTCTTTCCCATACTCCCAAGTTGGTCACAGACAGCTCCAGCCATGTGGCCTTCTGGGTAACTTTGGCACCAGTATCTGCTTTTCTCCCTACTAATCAATGACAATTTTTTTGACAGGCAGAGTTAGACAGTGAGAGAGAGAGAGAGTTATAGACAGTGAGAGAGAGACAGAAAGAAAGGTCTTCCTTCCATTGGTTCACTACCCTAATGGCCTCCACGGCCGGCACTGCGCCGATCCGAAGCCAGGAGCTGGGTGCTTCCTCTCGGTCTCCCATGCGGGTGCAGGGACCCAAACACTTGGGCCATCCTCCACTGCCCTCCTGGGCTACAGCAGAGAGCTGGACTGGAAGAGGAGCAACCAGAACTAGTACCCGGCACCCTAACCAGGACTAGAACCCAGGGTGCTGGTGCCGCAGGCAGAGGATTAACCTAGCGAGCCGTGGCCCCAGCCCTAATGACAATTTTTAAATGTCTTTTTTATTATTACACTTGTTTTTACCTTAGCTAGGCAAAGAAAATATTTTGCATTACAGGAGGGGCACCTTTGTTCTATGTTTTTTATCAGTTTATCAGTTTATCAGTACCATATCTGAGACTCCCCCCAACACACACATCCCAGCACAGAGATCTCATTCCCAGTGTCCCCACACTTGTGGCCACATCAGCAAGACAAACCAGAGCCACTGCAGCCCACACAGAATGGCAATGATGGCCCATGTGACCCTTCTCTAAGCAACAGTTTCCATTCTTTGCTCAGCACCTGCACCTCAGGGGTGCAGGCAAGGGGTTCTGGGCTTCAGAGCTCAAAAGGGCACACAGATCACACAGGAGCACTGCCCAAGGCTGCCTTCCTGTGTCTCCATGCGCCCACTCCTCTGGTTTGCTGCAGCTCACCAGTCTAGACCTCCTGCACCCCTGTGTAGGACTCATGACCCCCACCTTCCACTCACCTGGGACCCAGGGCTCAAGGGAGATGCGCTGGGTAACTTGTCACACTGTAAGACAGAAGGGGATGAAAGGAGCTGAGGAAGGAGTCCCCAACATGGCCCCACAACTTCTACAGCAGGGAGCACACACTAAGCCCAAGGAGGAAAGATCTTAGAATGTATCCTGCATGAGCAACCTCTCCTGCCTGCGGACCTCATCCTTGCCTGGGGAGCCAAAAAGTCTACAGTCCCCAGATTCTCCATGGAAGGCACATGTGCACCCTGGGATCCTCTTGCACCACTGCCACTAGGCTGGGTCTCAGCGTAATCCTATTGAGCATGATTTTTAAGTCATCATCTCTCTTTGAGACAGTATGAGGTCTCATCATCGACACAACCCCAGGAACTACATGGCAGGATCCCATTGGCACAAACCTCCCTCTAGAACCCAGAGGGTTTGGCTTACCACAACTGTTGCGGTCATTTCCTTCACCAAAGGGGCTGGCACCACCAGCTCATGGGCTTCCAGGTCTTGACAACAGCCCTTGCCCCTGGGGCAGGGGATCCCATTGGAGCTTCCTTTGATGACATTATCTATGGGACAGGGATGGGGATGGATGTGAACAGGCAGCAGGGGCAGGTAGGGTAAGTATTTCCAGGCATACTTTGGCCCGATTGGCCCAGCTGAGACTTCCAAGGAGGCCACACTGTAGGCATGGTGGATTAGCAAGCTCTGCCTACCTTGCCTGTGAACTGCTGGGCCTGTTGGTAACTGGGCCAAGAGGGCAACTTGGCCCAGGTCCCACTGTCAGAAGAGGCTTCCCCCACTGCTCCATCCTGCACCTGTGACCCAGGTCCTGGCTGGGACATGGGATGGACTAACAAGTGCTGAAACAGCCTTGGAATCAGAAGACCAATGACATGAGACACAACCAAGGAGGCTCCCTTGGGGCCTAGCCCCCCAAACCCCGCACAGTGCCTCGGTGTGGTCTCAGCCCAGGTCTCCCAGTGAATCTGACCCCTGCCTTGCTCAGAAACCTGATCCCCACTGTCTGTCCAAGTCTGGTCACATGAGCAAGGCATGGAGAACTGCTGTAGCCCACTTAGAACAAATGGGGGCACTGGCTCATTGGTACCTTTCCAATCCTCACCTTGTCCCCAAACCAGGCCAGGAGTCCTGGTAAGGTGTTCTGCACTTCAGAGTCCAAAGGAGTCTGAGGCTGCCTTTCTGTGTCATTAGGAATCTACCTGCCCGGCTCCAATGTGGTTTCCCACCCATACCACCTGTTGCCCAGCACAGGCCCAATGACACCTTCCAAACCACTCACCTGGAACCCCAGTTTCAAAGGTGTTCTGCTGGGCAGCTCATCGAACTGAAAGACACAAGGGTATGAAAGGATCTAATCAAGAAGTCCCAGGTCCCAGGCATGGCCCTGCATCTTGTATAACAGGGAGCACACACCAAGCTCAAGGAAGAAGGAGTTGAGGAGCATGAGCAGCCCCTTCTGCCTGTAGACCCCATCTTGGCCTGGGGTTCAAAAGGTCTCTAGTTCCCAGGGTTTCCTCCCCTGGAAAGCACCTGGTTACCCCAAATTCCCCTTGTACCACTGTCACTAGGCTGGGCCTCAGCGTAATCCTATTGAGCATGATTTTTAAGTCATCATCTCTCTTCTAGACAGTGTGAGGTCTCATCATCGACCCAACCCAGTTACTACAGGACAGAAAGCATCTAGTAGCATCCCACATGCAAACCTGTGATGGATTTCCTTACCTTGGGCAGTCACGGACATTGCCTTCTCCAACAAGGCTGGTACCACCACCTCATGGCCTCACAGCTCTGCACAGGGGAAGTGGAAACCCTGGGGGTTTTCTTTAGTTACATCATCTGTGGGACAGGGAAGGGGACAGCTGTGAAAAGACAGCAGGTCCAGGTAGAGTACACTGGTTTCAGGCATGCTTGACTCCATTAGCCCAGGTGAGGCTTCCTATAAGTCCTCCCTGTAGTGCTCTGGATTGACAGCTCTGCCACCTTACCTGTGAACTGCTGGGCCTTTGGTCACTAGGCCAAGAGGGCCACTCAAGCTGCTCCTACTGCCAGAAGCAGTATCCTCCACTCCCAACTCTGTCCCCAAGACCCAGGTCCTGGCCAGAACCAAGGCTGAAATAGCAAGCTCTGACACAGTCTTGATACTTGAAGACCAATGAGATGAGAGACACGCAAGGAGGCCCCCATGGGGCCACAGACCTGGCAACATGGCCTCCTACTCCAGGCCAGGGCACTAAGGGACAGATGCAGGCACACACTGGATTCTGGGAGTTCAGTCTGGGTTCCCAGGAGAAATATTCTTCCTATGGTCACTGCCGACTGCAGTCACAAATCCCAAAGATTGGGTACAGGTTTGGTGTTGGACCATGGCCAAGTCCTTCAGTGGGATCTTGGAACCTCCCAGGGAGGAGAGGAAGCCCAGGCCCAGATGGGGCTTTGGCATCCTTGCTGTGCTCAACTCAGGCTGAGGCCAATCCATGTGGCCTGGGAACACAAGGCCCTGGCCTAGACAAGTGGTAGGGATGGAACACGTTAGCACCACAAACAAGTGCCATGGCCAGTGTCTTGGCATCACCCTACTGGGAAGCAGCCAGAGCATTCCTGCAGCCGAGGCTCCAGCCACCCTGTGATCCCTGTGCAGCTCCCAGGCTGCCATACACCTGCAGAGCAGGCTGCTCCGCCAAACCTCCCTCACTGCTTTGTGAGGTCTTCAGCCCATGACTTCTATAGTATCTGAGCCCTGATACCCAGTATCTGCTCACTTGTGGTCAAATTAGCAAGGCTACCCAGAGCCCCTGCAGCTTACTTAGGGCAACTGGGGGCACTGGCCCCATGTGACCCCCACCTCCTGAATTCATTGCCATCTCTCAGTTGTCCCTTACACCAGACCAGGGGTTCAGGAAAAGTGTTCTGTATCTCAGGGCCCGAAGGGGCACAGCTTGCTTTGGAGCACAGTCTGAAGCTGCCTCCCTGTGTCTCTGTGGGTCCAGCCCTCAGGCTTGCATTGGGTGACCTGCCCTGACACTCAGCTCCTCCCCAGAGGCCCCCATGATACACTCCATCCACTCACCTGGGTTCTGGGACACAAGGATGAACCACCAGGCAGCACACCACACTGAAAGAGACAAGGGGATGAAAGGAACTGAAGAAGGAGCCTGCAGCAGGGCCCTCAACTCAGTCATTAGGGAGCACACATCAAGCCCAAGGAGGAAGAAGCTTGAGTAGATCCTGTAGGACCAACTGAACCCGACTGGGGATAGCATCCTGGCCTGGGGTTCTCCAGTCCCCACATTCTCCCCTGGAAGACTCATGTGCACCCTGGGATCCTCTTGCACCACTGTCACTAGGCTGGGCCTCAGCGTAATCCTATTGAGCATGATTTTTAAGTCATCATCTCTCTTCAAGACAGTATGAGGTCTCATCATCGACCCAACCTCAGGACCATACCATGGGATCCCACTGGCTGTGTCCCTTCTTCAGGGGGATTGCCTTACCTTGGGCAGTCAGGTATGTTTCCTATACCAGTGGAGCTGGCACCATCAGCTTTTGGGCCACTAGGGACTTTTCCACAGCCCTTCCCTCTGGGTCACTGGAACCCATAGGGGCTTTCTCTGCTGATATCTGTGGGATAGGAAGGGGGTCTGGTGTGAGCAGAAAGCAGAAGCAGGCTCCGAGTATACTTGTTCCAGAGCACAGTATGGCCCCATTGTCCCAGGAAGCCACCCCTCTAGGAGTGGGAGGTCAGGAAAGGTCTGCCCAGCTCACCCGCGAGCTGCTTTGTCTGTTGGTTAAGGGGACAGAGAGGCCCACTTGGGCTTGATCACCCTGCCTGCCTTTAGGGGCTACCCCCCACTGTTCCTTTCTGTGCCTGACCTCAGGGTCCCGCCCAGGACCCAGGCAGGACAACTAAGAGCTAGCTCACCTTGGCCCGGAGGCCCAGTCCATTAGATGCAACAAAGGAGGCTCCCGTGGGGCCCTGAGCCTAACATAGCATTCCTACCAGGCCAGGGCACTCAGGTGCAAGCTGCATGCAACACACTGCATCCTAGGAGCTCAGGATATGCCAGCTAGAGATAATCACTCCTAGGGTTAATGCCCACTACAAACTGTACACATCCCAAACATGGGGTACAGACATCAGGCTGGACATGGCCCACTCCTCCCATGGGGAATTGGTTCCTCCCGTGGACGAGCAGGAACCCAGGCCCAGGAGGGTCCCTGACATAGTTGCTGGGCTTAACTCATTTGGAAGCCAAGCCAAGTGGCCTTTGAATGCCAACCCATGGACAAGGCAAGCTGTGAGGATGCATGGTCTGGCATCAACCTGCAGCTGTCCTTGCCTGTGGCACTTAAGTAAGATGTTGGCACCCCCACTGAACAGGCACTGGCTGGAACATCCCTACCACCTAGGCTCAAGTGTCCTTGGGGCCCAGGTGAAGCTCTCAGGCTGTTCAGCACCTGCAGAGCTGGGTGCCACACCAAACCTCCCCCCACCACTGGCCCTGCCTCAGTATGTTCCAGGGCCAGGGCCTCATAAGGAATCTGAGCTTTATCCCTGCACAGAGACCTGATCACCAGTTTATGCACCCTTTTGGCCATACCAGAAAGCCAGAATAGAGCCCCTGCAGCCAACACTGGCCCTATGTGACCCCTCTATCAGGAACTGTTTCTATTCCTTGCTTGGCCCCTATACCATACCAGTGGTTCAGGCAAGGCATTCTACACCTGAGATGACAAAGGGGCACAGCTCACCAAAGTGCAATGCCTGATACTGCCTTTCTGAAACTCTGTGGGTCCTCTCCTCGGGTTCACTTTGGGTGACCTGTTCTCCCCAACATGCCTCATGACCCCAGTCATCCACTCACCTGGGAACTGGGGAGCAAGGGTACTCTGGCAGGCAGCAAGGATCACTGAAAGACAAAATGGGATGGAAAGAGCACCCAGTGTGGCCCCAGTGTCGGCCAGCAGGGAGCACACATCAACCCCAAGGAGGAAGGAGCTTTTGTGAATCCTGCACGAGCAGCCACTCCTGCCTAAGGACTGTGTCCTTTCTTGGGCAGCCTTGAGGCCTCTAGTCCCAGGGTCTCCTCCCATGGAAGGCACTTGGTTACCCCAAGGTCCTCGTACTGTATTGTCACCAGGCTGGGCCTCAGCGTAATCCTATTGAGCATGATTTTTAAGTCATCATCTCTCTTCAAGACAGTATGAGGTCTCATCATTGACCCAACCCCAGGAATAACACCACAGGAAGACCCTGGTGCCCTCCAACTTCAAGAATCCTGATGGATTGGCTTACCTTGGGCATCAGGGACATTTCCTTCACCAATGAGACTTGCAGTACCAGCTCATGGGGTATTAGGGCCTCAACGGCAGCCCTTGCCCACAGGCTACTGGACTCCACAGGGGCTTCACTTTTCCAATATCTGAGGGACAGCGTGGGGATAGGGTGTGAATGCATAGCAGGGGCAGGCAAGGAAGGGTACACTGGTTCTAGAGCTCAGTCGACCCAGGTGAGGCTACCAGGGTACCACCCCTGAAGACATCCTGGTTCTGGAAAAATCTTCCTGCCTTGCTGGAAAACCACTGGGTCTGTTGGTCACTGACCAGATAGGACCACTCTGACTGGGTTAGCTTGTCCAACACAGCTAACCCTACTGCTTCTTCATCCCCTATGATCTAGGTCCTGACCAATATCCAGGTTAGGCATACAAACACAGACCTGACCTTGTGTGGAGGACCAGTGGCACGAGTTGCATCCAAAGATTCCCCAGTCAGTACCTGGGCCTACATCCAGGTCACAGCACTCAGGTGCAGGCTGTGTGCACACACTACATTCTGGGAGCTCAGGCTGTGCACCGTGGAGACAACTTCCTCCCATAGTTGCTGCCCACCACAGTCCTATACGCATCCCAAAGATGAGAAAAGGGATTCACCCTGGACTATGGCACACTCTCTCATGAGGCCTTGGTGCACCCTGTGTAGGAGTGGGAGCCGGGGATCAGGAGGGGCCCAAGCATCCTTAATGGGCTCAACTTCCATCTGAAGCCCATGCATGTGGCAGGGGACCCCCAGGCCTTGGTTGAGGCAGGAAGCAGGGATGGGGCATGCTGGGCACCACTGTACAGGTACCCTGGCTTGGGTGTCAACCTGTTTGACCAAGCACTGGCCAGAAGGTCCCTAAGTCCTAGGGTCCACGACCCTGTGACCCTCGTGAAAATCCCAGGTTGCTAGGTACCAACAGAGCTGGATCCCCTGCCAAACCTCCCTCCCTGCTGTGAGATCTTCAGCCAGAGCCTCCTACTAAATTTAAAACCAGCTCCTGCACAGAGTCCAGATCTCATGTCTGCCCTCTTCCAGCTATTTCATCAAGGCAACCCAGAGATAATTCTGCTACTTAAGATAAGCGAGGGCACAGGCTCCACGTGAACCACTCACCCTAGAACTGCTGCCATCCTTGCTTGCTCCAGCTGCTGGCCAGGGTGTCAGATAAGGAGATCTGGACCTCAGAGCCCAAGGAAACACAGCTCACTAGGAGCGCTGCCCTAAGCTGCCTTCCTGTGTATGGGTCCGTCCTCAGGTTTGCATCAAGGGACTCACCCAGAACCCCTGCTGCCCCACATGGGCCAATGACACACTCCATCCACTAACCTGGAACCTGGTGTAAACCAGCCTGGCAACTCTTCTCACTGAAATACAGCAAGGGGCAAATGGACCTGAGAGAGAATCCTCCAGCATGGCCCTGCATCTCAGACAGCAGCAAGCCTATACCACACCCATGGAAGATGGAGCTTGGGTTGGGAGTGCCTCAAGAGCTCCAGCCTTCAGGGTCTCTTCCCTTGGAAGGCACATGATTACTCCAAGGTCCTCTTGCACCACTGTCACTAGGCTGGGCCTCAGTGTAATCCTATTGAGCACGATTTTTAAGTCATCATCTCTCTTTGAGATAGCATGAGGTCTCATTATTGACCCAAGCCCAGGAACCACACAACAGGAACCCCCTGGCAACATCCCACCTCTAGGGCACAGGTGGATTGGCTTACCTCAGGCAGCCCTGGAACTTTTTTTCCAAAGCGGCTGGCAGACGCAGCTCATTGGCTTCTGGGGCCCTTACCAGAGCCATTGCCCCCTGAGACTGGACTCCACTGAACTTCCTTTGGTGACATCATCTGTGGGATAGGGAGGGGGACTGGTGTGTACAGACAGCTAGGCAGGCCAGTTTACACTGGTTCTGGGGGATGCTTTGGCCCTGTAGGCTCAGGTGAGGCTATCCAAGAGCCCACTCCTGTAGCTGTGGTGGGTCACTCAAGTTCCACCCATCTGGCCTGAAAACTGCTGGGCATTGTGGTTACTGGGACAGAGAAATCCACCTGGATAGGATCGTTGTGCTGGAAGTGCCTACCCCCACTGCTCCTTCCTGCCTCTGAGACCCAGGTCCTGGGAAGGAACCATACTGGACAGGGAAACAATGACTTGGCTTAAGCATCAGAGGACCATTTCAGAAAGACATACCCAAGGAGCTCCCCATGTGGCCTAGGATCATTGCCCACTGCAGTAACATACACATCCCAAAGATTGGATACAGGCATGGGGATAGGCCATGGCCCAGTCCTCCAGTAGGGACTGAGAGCCCCCCATGGAGAAGAAGCAGCCCAGACACAGGAGGGGACTTGGCAACTTTTTGGGTTCAACTGAGGCTGAAGCCCTCAGATGTGGGCTTCAAACACCAGCCTGGCTGAGGCATGTGGCGGGATGGGGTGTATATGAAACCAACTTACAGGTGCCATGACCCATGGGTTGATATCCCCTAATTTGCACTGATCAGAGCATTCCTGCAGCTTAGGCTCCAGCGGCTCCATGGCCCACATGAAGCTGCAAGGCTCAGCGTACCTGCAGAGCTGGCTGGCCCACCAAACCTCCTTTGCTGCTTCATTGTGGTCCTCAGCACTGGTCTTGGCAGTGAATCTGATCCATGCCCTGCTCAGATGCCTGGTCCCCAGGCCCCCCCCCCCCCCCGCCAACTTCTGCTCACATGAGTAAGGCAACCCAGAGGTGCTATAGCCCATTTGGGACAAGTGGATGCACTGACCCACATAAACCTCCCTCTCTTTGTCCCTGCACCAGGCCAGCCAGGGTTCCAGGTGGAGCATTCTGCATTTCAAAGGCCAAAGAGGCACAGATCACTCAGGAGAACTGCCTGAGGCTGCCTTCTAGTATATAGATGAATCCCCTATTCAGAACTCCATCGGGTGACCCTTCCAGACCCCCTGTTGCCCCACACAGGCCCAATGACACCCTCTATCCACTCACCTTGGACACAAGATCAAAGAATGCCCCACCAGGCAGCTCATCCCACTGGAAGACACAGAGGAGGAAAGGAGCTGAGGAAGGAGCCCTGAATGCGGCCCTGTAACCAGGACAGCAGGGAGCACACAGCATGTCCAAGGAGGAAGGAGCTTGGGGTGCATGCAGGACGAGCAGCTGCACTTTATGTGGACCTTGACCTGGCGTGGGGGGACCAAAATACCTCCAGACCCAGGGTCTCTGCCCTTGAAAGGCATCTGGTTATGCCAAGTTCCTCTTGCACCACTGTCACTAGGCTGGGCCTCAGCGTAATCCTATTGAGCATGATTTTTAAGTCATCATCTCTCTTCGAGACAGTGTGAGGTCTCATCATCGACCCAACCCCAGGAACCACAGCATGGGAAGTACCTGGTGCCATACTATGTCCAGGGCCCGAATGAACTGGCTTACCTTGGCCAGTCCCAGAAATTTCCTTCACCAATTGGACTCACAGCACCAGCACCTGAGCTGCTGGGGCCTTGACCACAACCCTTGTTCTCAGAGTACTGGCCCCAGTGGGTGCTTCCCTGATGACATCATCTGTGGGACAGAGTGGGTATTGGGTGTGAATATACAGCAGGGCCGGCAAGAGTGAACTTTTTCCAAAATGTGCTTTGGCTGAGTTGGCCCAGGTAAGGCTTCCAGGAGGTCAAACCTGTGGGCATCTTGGTTTGGGCAAACTCTGCCCACCCTTGCTGGAAAACTGCTGGACCTGTTGGTCACTGACCACCTAGGGCCACTCTGGTTGGGTCACATGCTTGAAGCAGCTAACACCACTGATCCTTCCTCTCTCAAGACAGAGGTCCTGATTAGTACCTGGGCTGTAAAAACAAGTGCTGGCCCAGCCTTGGCATCAGAGGATCAGTGGCATGAGATACACCTAAGAATTCCCCAGTTGGGACCTGGGCCTATCAACATGGCATCTCTCTCCATGGCCAGGCACTGAGGTGCAGGCTGTGTGTACAAACTGCATCCTGGGAGCTAAGTTTGTACACCCTGAAGACAAATTCCTCTTCCATGCAATGCCCACTGCAGTCCCACTCACATGCCATAGATGGAGAAAGGGCTTTGGCCTGGACCATGGCCCACTCTTCTGTGGGGCCTTGGTGCCTCCTGTGTGGCATGGGAGCCTTGGACCAGGAGAGGCCCTGACATCCTTCATGGGCTCAACTCAGTCCAAAGCCTAACCATGTGTCAAAGGAACATCAACTCTTGGCAGAGGCAAGAAGCAGGGATGGGGCATGCTGGGCGCCACAGTATGGGTGCTTTGGCCTGGGTGTTGGCACCTACCTGCCTGGGCACTGGCTGCAGCATCTCTATGTCCTAGGCTGCAGTGACCCCTCAACCCAAGTGAAGCTTTCAGGCTGCCAAGCAACTGCAGAGCGGGCTGCCCTGCCAAAACTCCCTCATCGCATAATGTGGTCTTTTGCCCAGATTTCCTATGGTATCTTAGCCTTGTCTCCTCAAGTAGGCCTGATCCCAGTATCCATCCACTCTGGCCAAATCTTCAAGGCAACCCAGAGTCTCTCAGCCCACCTGGAAAAAATGTTGGCACTTGCCCCGCATGAACGCAGTCCATGATCCTTTCCCATTTCTCAGTTGGCCCCTTTACGAGGCCAGGGATTTAGGCAAGGTGTGCTGGGCCTCAGAGCCCATAGGGTCACAGCTTGCTCTGGAGTACAGCTCAATACTGCCTTCCTGTGTCTCCACGGGGTCCACCCATAAGACTTCTGTCAGGTGACCCACACTTCACTCAGCTCCTCCACAGATGCCCCATGATACTCACCATCCACTCATCTGGGCTCTGGGACAAAGCGGGGAAGCCCTGGGTAATATATCACACTGAAAGAGACAAGAGATAAAAGGAGCCAAAGAAGGAGCTGCCCACAGTGCTCCTCAGTCAGTCAGTGGGAGCACATACCATGCCCAAGGAGGAAGAAGCTTGAGTGGAGCCTGCAGGACCAACTGAACCTGCCTGAGGACTGTATCATGGCCTGGGAGCCTCCAGGTCTCCAGTCCCCACATTCTCCTCTCCTGGAAGGCTCGTGTGCACCCGGGGTTCTCTTGACTATGATCCCAGGCTGGGCCTCAGCGTAATCCTATTGAGCATGATTTTTAAGTCATCATCTCTCTTCAAGACATGTTAGGTCTCATCATTGACCCAGATCCAGGGGCCAGACCACAGGAAGTCCCTGGCACCATCCCACATCCAGGGCCTGGATGGATTGGCTTACCTCGGACAGTCACTGTCATTTCATTCTCTAGCAGGGATTTACACCACTTGCTCATTGCCTGCTGCACCCTTGAACACAGCCCTGCTCCAGGGGCAGTGGAAGCCACTGGGGCTTTCTTTGGTGATATCATCTGTGGAACAGGTATGGGGACAGATGTGAATAGACAGGAGGCACACATAGGGTACACTGGCTCCTGGCATGTTTTGGCCCTGTCAGCCCATTTGAGGCTTCCCAAGAGGCCACCCTGTAGGTATGGTGATTTAGCAAGCTCTGCCCACCTTGCCTGTAAACTTTTGGGCCTGTTTGTTACTGGGCCAACAGGGCCACTCAGACCTGGTTCCACTGCCATGAGTGATATCCCTCACTGCTCCATCTTGCCCTTAAGACGCTGGTCCTGGCCAGGACCTAGGCTGCACAAGGAAGCACAGGAACAGCCTTGGTATCTGAAGACTGGTCACATGAGACACACACAAGGAGACTCTCTGGGACCCTAGCCCAGGCCACATGGCCTCCTAGTCAAGACCAGGGCACTAAGGGACATGTTGCGTGCACATACTGGATTCCAGGAGCTCAGGCTGTGCTCCCCAGAGACACATTCCTCTTAATGTCACTGTCCACTGCAGTCACATACACATCCCCAAGATGGGGTACAGGCAAGGGACTAGATCATGGCCCTGTCCTCTACTGGGGCCTTGCTGCCTCCAATGGAAGAGAAGCCCAGGACCAGAAGAGGTCCTAGCATCCCTGTTGTGCTCAACTCAGGCTGAGGCTCAGCCATGCAGCCTGCGAACGCCATCCCCTGGCCAAAGCAAGTGTTAGGGATAGGGCATGCCTGGCAACATCCTGTAGGTGCCTTGGCCCATGGCCAGTACTCCTGTACCATGCACCAGCAAGAGCATTCCTGCAGCCGAGGCTCCAGTGGCCCCATGACCAACGTGAAGCTCCCAAGCTGACAGACACCTGCAGAGCTGGCTGCTCTGCCAAACCTCCCACAGTGCCTCCGTGTGGTCCGCATCCCAGGTGTTCTAGTGATTTTGAGCCCTGCCCCAGCTCAGAGGCCTGATTTCCAGTGTCCACCCATATCCAGCCACACCAGAAGGGCAACCCAGAGCCACTATAGCCCACCTAGAACAACCAGGGGCACTGGCCACATGTGGTCCCTCCCCCAGGGACTGTTTCCATTCCTCTTTTGGTGCCTGAAATAGCCCAGGGTCCAGGAAATCATTCTGCATCTCAGAGCCTAAAGAAGCACAGCTTACTCAGCAGGAGAGTGCCTTCCTATACCTCCATGGGTCCCCACCTCAGGCTCCCATTGCATGACCTGCCCAGACCACCTGCTGCCCCACATCAACCAATAATACCCTCTATCCACTCACCTATAACCCCAGGTCCAAGGGTGTCCCACCATACAGCTTGTCTCACTGAAAGACAAAGGGGCAAAAGGAGGTAAGGAGGGTGCCTCCAGGATGTCCCAGCAACTCGGGTAACAGAGAGCACAACCAAGGCCAAAAAGGAAAGATCTCTGCCAATCATGCATGAGCAGATGATCCTGCCTGCAAACCATGTACTGGTCTGGGGGCCTAAGTCTTCAGTCCTGAGGGACTCCTCCCCTGGAAGGCACCTGGTTACCCCAAGGTCCTCTTGCATCACCATCACTAGGCAGGGCCTCAGGGTAATCCTATTGAGCATGATTTTTAAGTCATCGTCTTTCTTTGAGACAGTATGAGGTCTCATCATCGACCCAACCACAGGAACCACACCCCAGGAAGCCCCTGGCTCCATCCATGTCCAGTGCCTAGATGGATTGTCTTATCTTGGGCAGTCACAGCATTTTATTCTCCAATGGGGCTGGCACCACCAGCTCATGGACTGCTGGGCCTTGACCACAGCCTTGCCCTGGGGCACTGTATTCAATGGGGGCTTCCTTTGGTGACATCATCTGTGGGACAGCAATGTGGACTGGTGTGAATAGCACCAGGGGCAAGTAGGGTACATGGGTCCCAGGCATGCTTTGTTCTGTCCTCCCAATTGAGGCTGCCCAGGAGGCCACCATTAGGCATGGTGGATTGGCAAGCTCCACACACCTTGCCTGCAAACTTCTGGGCTTGTTGGTCAGTGGCCAAGAGGCCACTCTGGCCGGTTCCTACTGCTAGAAGTGGCATCTCACTGCTCCATCCTGTGCCCCAACACAGGTCCTGGCCAGGACCTGGACTGAACAAACAATCTCTGTCACAGCCTTGGTATCTGAAAACTGCTGACATGAGACACACTCAAGGAGGCTGTATTGGAGCCTTAGCCTAGCAACACAGCCTCCTATTCCAGGCCAGGACACTAGGGGTCAGGCTTCATGCACACACTGGATCCTGGGAGTTCATGCTGTGTCTCCCAGAGACACATTTCTTTTATGGTCACTACCCACTACAGTCACCCATCCCAAAGGCAGAGTACAGGCAAGGGGCTGGACAATGGCCCAGTTTCAATGGGGCCTTGGATCCTGCCATGGAAGAGATGAAGCCTGGGCCCGTGAGTGGCCTTGGCATCCATGTTGGGCTCAAATAACATCTAGCCCCACCCATGTGGCTCACAAACACAAGCCCCTGGCTGAAGCAAGCAGCAGGGATTAGACATGGGTGGCAGCACCGTACAGGTACCATGGACCCTGGGTTGGCATCCCACTACCAGATATCAGCCAAAGTATTCCTGCAGCCTAGGCTCCTGTGGCCATGTGACCCACTAGAAGCTCCCGAGCTGCCAGGCCCCTGCAGATCTAGCTGCCCTGACAAACCTTCAGTGCCATGGTATTCTTAGTCTATGTCTCCCAGTGAATCTGATCCCTGCCCTGCTCAGTGGCATGATCCCCTGTGTCTACTCACGTCCAGTCACACCAGCAAAGCAACCCAGAGCCACTATAGGCCACTGATAACAAGTAGAGGCAATGGTCCCATGTAAACGCTTCCTCAGGAACCATTTAATTTCTTCAATTTGCCCCTACACCAGGCCATGGGTCCAGGTTTGTCACTCTGTATCTCAGAGCCCAAAGATGCACAGCTTACTCAGGAGCACTGCCCAAGGCTGTCTTCTAGTGTTTCCAGGAGTCCACCCATCAGGCTCCAGGTGGTTGACCCACACAGACCCCAGTTACTCCCACAGGCCCAGTGATACACTCCATCCACCCACCTGAACCCTGGGTTAAAGGGTACCTCTATCAGGCAGCTTGTGCCACTGAAAGACACAAGGGGATGAAAGGAGGTGAGGATGGAGCTGCTAGTGTAGCCCTGCAACTCATATATCAGGAGCATACAATAAGCACAAGGAGGAAGGAGCTTGCAGTTCATACAGCATGAGCAACCACTCCTTCCTGAGGATTTCAACATGGAATGGGGGGCCAAAATACCTCCAGTCCCCAAGGTCTTCTCCCCTAGAAGGCACCTGGTTACCCCAAGGTCCTCTTGCACCACTGTCACTAGGCTGGGCCTCAGAATAATCCTATTGAGCATAATTTTTAAGTCATCATCTCTCTTCAAGATAGAATGAGGTTTCATCATCAACGCAATCACAGGAACCACACCATGGCACCATCCCAGCTCTAAGGCCTGGATGGATAGGCTTACCACAGGCAGGCCAGTATGTTTCCTTAGCCAAATGGACTCAGAGCACTAATTCATGGGGCACTGGAGCCTTTACCACAGCCCTTGCCCTTGGAGTACTCAACCACTCAACCACATGGGAGCTTCCCTGTTGACATAATCTGTGGGACAAGGTGTGAGTCTGGTGTAAACAGACAGCAAGGGCAGGAAAAGGTACATTGGTTCCAGAGTGTGCTTTGGCCTAGACAGCCCAGGTGAGGCTCCCAGGAGGCCACACCCATAGGCATCTTGATTCAGGCAAGCTCTTCAAACCTTGCTGGAAAACTTCTGGGCCAGTTGGTCATTGACAAGATAGGGCCCTCTGGCTGGGTCCCCATGTCTGAAGCAGCTAACTCCACTCAAACTTCCTCCCCGTGACCTAGGTCTTGACTAGCACCTGGGATGGAAATGCAAGCACTGGCTCTACGTTGGCATCAGAGGACTGGTGGCATGAGATGTACTCAAGAGTTCCTCAGGGGGGACCTGAACCTACCAACACATCATCCCCATCCAGGTCTGGGCACTAAGGGCATGTTGCATCCTGGGAGCTCAGGCTGCACACCTCAGAGACACCTTCTTCCCATGGTCGCTGCCCACTACAGTCTGGAACACTTCCCAAAGACAGAAAAAGGGTTTTGGCCTAGGCCATGGCTCAATCTTTCATGTGGCCTGTGTGTGTCACATGCAGCAGTGGGAGCCTGGGAGCAGGAGTGGCCCTGATATCCTTTATTGTCTCAACTCAATCTGAAGCCCACCCATGTGGCAAGGGACAAAGTATTTGTCTGAGGCAAGCAGTGGGCATGCCAGGCACTACTGCACAGATGCTCTGGACTGGGTGTGGGCACCTCCTTGACCAGGTATTGGCTGGAGGATCCGAGTCACAGGGTCATTAGACCCTGTGACCTATGTGAAACTCCTGGGTTGCCAAGCACTATCAGAGCCAGTTGACCTGTGAAACCTCCCTCCCTGCCATGGTATCCTCAGCTCAGGCCTCCTTCTGAACCTAAAACCAGCCTCTACACAGAGCCATGATCTCCAGTGTTTGTCCACTTCCAGCCACACTCACATGGCAACCAAGAGCTGCTTCAATCCACCTAGGACACTGGCTGCAGAGGAACCCTCCCCCAGGAACATTTGTCATCTCTTGATCTGCCCTTGCACCAGGCCAGAGTTCCAGCTAAGGCAATCTGGACCTCAGAGCCCAATGGGGCATAGCTCATCATGAGCACTGTCCGAAGCTGCCTTCCTAAATCTCCATGGGTCCACACATGAAGTTGCATCAGTTGATCCACCCAGAAGCCCCTCTTACCAAAACAGGCCAAATGACACCCTCCATTCACTCACCTAGAACGCCAGGTCCAAGGGTCCTTTGTAGGGCAAATCTGCTCACTGAAAGACACCAGGGGATAAAAGGAGCTGAGAAAGGAGCCGCTAGCACAGCCCTACAACTCAGACAGTAGGGAGCACGCCCCACTTCCAAGGAAGATGGAGCTTGGGTACATCCTACATGAGAAGCCTCTCCTGACTGAAGATAGCATCATGGCACGGGAAGCCTCAAGTTCTGAAGTTCCCAAGATCTCCCCTGGAAGGTACGGGGTTACCCAAAGTTCCTTTACACCACTGTCACTAGGCTGGGCCTCAGCATAACCCTATTAAGCATGATTTTTAAGTCATCATCTCTCTTCGAGTCAATAGAGGACTCTTTGGCCCAATCCCAGGAACCACAACATTTGATGCCACTGGCATCATTCCATTCGGGGGCCTGGATAGACTGTCTTACCTAGGAGAATCATGGATGTTTCCTTTGCCAACAGGGTTAGCACTAGCAGCTCATGGGCCACTGAGACTGTGATCAGAGCCCTTGCCCCTGGGGCACTGGAATCCGCAGGGGCTTTTGTCGCTCCCCCTCTTCGTGGAGGAACGACACAGGATCCTGCCTAGGCTTCATATCCGAGTCACGGCACCATTATGTCGCTCCCCCTCTTCGTGGAGGAACGACACTAAACCCTGCCTAGGCTTCATATCCGAGTCACGGCACCATTATGTCGCTCCCCGTCTTTGTGGAGGAACGACACAGGACCCTGCGCTGTTCTTTCGTCTGCTCAGCCCTCCCCGGGTTTGCTGCTGGTTCTTCCCGGGTTGGCTACTGTCCCTTCCACCTCCGTGGAAGGGCGGTTCCCCCTGGCCACTTTCCCCACTTCCGCAGGGGAGCGGCATACCGCCGGCCGGCTCTCTGGGGGGCTGCACAGGTGTTCCCCTTAGATGTTCCTCGTGCATGTTGTCTCTCTCCTCCTTTATAGTCCTCTTCCACCAATCCCAACTCTGCTACCCACACGCCAAGTACGCTGCTCTCCTCCAATCAGGAGCAGGTCCTACAGTTTATTGGTTAAACTGGAGGCAGCTGTGTAGAAGCTGTTTCCCTTCTCAGCGCCATCTTGTGGGAGAGCAGATGCATAGAATAAGTCTTAATTCCAGTAACTTAGTCTGGGTCCGAGTTGCTCCCAGTTGCTCCCCACAGCTTTCCTTAGAGACATCACATGTGGGACAGGGGCTGGTCAGGTGGGAATAGACAGCAGGGCAAGCTCTTGGGACACTGGTTCCAGGTTATGCTTTCACCTCGTGAGCACATGGTTGGCTATGCAGGAGGCCACCCACATTGGCTTGGAGTGTTGGGCAAGCTCTGCCCACCTCACCTGCAAACAGTTGGGCCTGTTGGTCACTGAGCCAAAGAGACCCTCTCAGGCCACATTGCATTGTCCAGATGAGCTACCCCCATTGCTTCTTCCAGTCTCCTACTCCAAAGTACTCTCTGGGACCTGGGAAAGAAAGTGTAGGCACAGCCATGAAGAGGCTCCCGCAGGTCCCTAGGCCTAACAACATGGCATTTTAACCAGGCCTGGGCACTCAGGTTCAGGCTGTGTGCACACACTGCATGCTGAGAGCTCAGGATGTACCCCCTGAAGATACTTACTCCAAGGATCACTGCAAACCACAGACTGTACACATTCCAAACACGGGATACAGGCATCAGGCTGGACCATAGCCCATTCCTTCCATGGTCAATTGGTCTGGCAATGGAGGGACAGGAGGCTGGGCCCAGGTGGGTTCATGGCATCCTTGTGGAAGCTCAAACCACTTGGAAGCTCAACCATGTGGCCTGCAAATGACAGCCCTTGGACAAGGTAAGCCATAGGGAAGGGCATGCCTGGCAGCACCCTGCAGCTGCCCTGGCCTGTTGAACTTAAGTCAGGTGTTGGCACCCTGCCGAGCAGGCATCGGCCACAGTGTCCCTGCAACCTAGGGTCCAGTGAAGCTCCCAGGCTGCCCAATACCGGCAGAGCCAGCTGTCCTGCCAACCCTCCCTCCATGCCTTGGTGTGGTCCACTGCCAGGGACTCCTATGGAATATCAGCTCCACCACCATGCAGATTCTATCTCCAGTGTCTGTATACTTTCAGTCACATTAGCAAGCCAACCCAGAGCTCCTACAGCTCACACTGGCCAAATGGCAACAATGGTCCCACGTGACTACTCCCTCAGGAACTGTTTCCAATCTTGCTTGGCTCAGCATTCAAATAAGACAATTCTGGATCTCAGTGCCTATAGGGGCACAGCTCACTCAGGAGTACTGCCCAAGTCTGCCTTCCTATATCTCTGTGGGTCCACTACAAGGGCTCTCCTCTACTCACCCTAAAAAGATCCTCTGCTCCCATGCACAAACCTCATGAACCCTGCCACCCACTCAACTGAGACCCAGGGCACAAAGGTGCCTCGCTGGGTAGTAGGGTTCTCTGTGAGGCACAATGGGCAGGGCCGGCTCTGTGGCATAGTGAGTAAAGCCACCGCTGGCAGTGCTGGCATCCCATATGAGCACCGGTTCGAGTCCTGGCTGCTCCACCTCCAATCCAACTCTCTGCTGTGGCCTGGGAAAGCAGTGAAAGATGTCCCAAGACCTTGGGCCTCTGCACCTATACGGGAGACCTGGAAGAAGCTCCTGGTTCCTGGCTTTGGATTGGCGCAGCCCTAGCCGTTACGGCCAATTGGGGAGTGAACCAGCGGATGGAAGACCTCTCTCTCTGCATCTCCTTCTCTCTCTAAGTCTGACTTTCAAATAAATAAATAAATCTTTTTAAAAAGGACACAATGGGGAGAAAGGAGGTGAGGAAGGTTCACCCAGTATGGCTCAAGCCATTGGTGCACAGGGAGCACAGATGAAGCCCAAGTAGGAAGAAGCTTTGGCAGAACCTGCATGAACAGCTACTCCTGCCTGGAAACAGCATTCTTGCCTGGGTAGCCTCAGGATCTCCAGGCCCCAGGATCTCATCTCTTCTCCTGGAAGGCATCTGGGGACCCTGGGGCCTTTTGCACAACTGTCACTAGGCTGGGCCTCAGAGTAATCCTATTGAGCATGATTTTCAAGTCATTATATCTCTTTAAGGCAGTATGAGGCCTCATCACCCACCCAACCCCAGGAATCACACCAAGGGGAAGCTCCTGGGGCCGTCCCACCTCTAGGGCCCAGGTGGATTCGCTTACCTCAGGCAATCCTAGAACTTCGTTTTTCAGAACCAGCTCATTGGCCTCTGAGGCCTTGACTACAGCCCTTGTTCCTGGGCACTGGGCCCCATCGAGCTTCTTTTGATGACATCATCTGTGGGAGTGGGAGGGGAACCAGTGTGAATAGACAGCAGGATACACTGGTTCCAGGCTAGAATATTCTGGCTTTGGCCCCATTTGCTCAGATGAGGCTATCTAGGAGCCTACCTCTGTAGGTGTAGTAATCTGGCAGGTTCTACCCATGTGGCCTACAAATGCTGGGCATTGTGGTCTCTAATAAAGAAAGGGCCATTTAGGTAGGACTGTCCCTCTGGAAGCACCTACTCTTATCTCGCCTTCCTGCCCCCCAAGACTCAGGTCCTTGTCTGGAACCAGACTGGATGGCAAGAAATGACTTGGCCAAAACCTCAGCATTCCATTCCAAAGAGACATACTTATGGAGGCCCCCATGAGGCTCTGGGACTATCAACACTGCATAGCCAGTCATGCCCAGGGGCTCAGGTGCAGGATGGGTGAACACAGTGGATCCTGGAGGTTTAGGGAGTACCCCCAGGACACATTTTCCTCCTATCATTCCATCTCATACACTACCCAAGATGGGGTATGGGCATCTGACTGGACCATGATTCACTCCTTGGTGTCTCCTGTGGAGAAGTGGGAGCCCTGGCTCAGGAGGGGCAATGGTATCCTTGCTGGACTCAACTCAGTCTGAAGCCCATCCGTGTGGTATGCGAATGTCAGCCCATGGATGAGACAAGTGGTGGGATGTTGCGTGCATGACATAACCCTGAAAGTACCTTGACCTAGATCTTGGCTCACCCTGATCAAGCATTACCCGGAGTATCCCTAGGTCCTAGAGTTCAAGGGCACTACAACACTCACGAAAATCCCAGACTACCAGGCAATGGCATATCAGGTTGCCAAGCCAAACCTTCCCTCTGTCATGGTATCTTCAGCCTGGTCCTTCTACTGAATCTAAAATCTGCAACTGACAGAGGCCTGATCCCAGTATCCATCCACTTCAGGCCATACCAACGAAGCAGTATAGGACTGATGAAGCTGATCTAGGACACACACAGGGACTGGTCCAATGTGAACTCTCCCCCAGGATTGTTGACATTCCTTGCTCTACCCTTCTCTCCAGACCAGGGTTTTAGGTAAGACGGTTAGGAACTCAGCGCCAAAGGGGCACAGCTCACAGGAGCATTGCCAACGCTGCCTTGCTAATTCTCTCTGGGTCCACACATCCAGCTTGTATCAGCTGATCCATCCAGAATCCCTACTGATCCACATAGGCCCAGTGACACCCTCCATCCACTCACCTAGAACTTCAGGTCCAAAAATGCCCTGCTGGGCAAATCTGCTCACTGAAAGACACCACGGGATAAAAGGAGCTGAGGAAAGAGCCTCAGTACAGCCCTGAAACTCAGAGAGCAGATAGCACACACCACACCCAAGGAAGATGGAGCTTGTAAGTCTGACTGTGAAAGTCAGACTTACACAGAGAGAGAAGGAGATGCAGAGAGAGAGGTCTTCCCAGCCTCTCCTACCTGGGGACTGCTTCCTGGCTTGGGAGCCTCAAGGTCTCCAGTCCCCAGGGTCTCCTCCCATGGAAAGCACTTGGTTACCCCAAGGACCTCTTACCATTGTCATTAGGCTGGGCCTCAGCGTAATCCTATTGAGCATGATTTTTAAGTCATCATCTCTCTTCGAGACAGTATGAGGTCTCATCATTGACCCAACCCCAGTAACTACAACATACATTGCCACTGGAATCATTTTACCCAAGGGCCCAGATGGATTGGCTTACCTTAGAGTGTCACAGAGATTTGTTTTGCCAAAGGGGCTAGAAGCAGCAGCTCATGAGCCACTGAGATCTTGACCACAGCCCTTGCCTCTGGGGTACTGTAATCCATGGGGGCTTCCTTTGGAGACTTCATCTGTGAGACAGGGAGGTGATTGGGTATGAAAAGACAGCAGGGGCAAGCTTTGTGTATATTGGGTCCAGAGCATGCTTCCGCCCCGTGAGCACAAGGTTGGCTATACAGGAGGCTACCCATGTTGGCGTGGAGTGTCAGGCAAAGTCTGCTCATACCACACACACAAGTTGGGACTCTCGGTCATGTGCCAGAGGGACCACACATGGGTCGTGTGGTCGTATCCAGAGTGGCTACTCCCAGCACTCCCTCTGGCCCCTGACCCCAAAGTATTGGCCAGGACCTGGGCAGGACAACCAAGAGCATGCACAGCCTTGTTCCTAGAGGACTGATCACAAGATGCACCCAAGGAGGCCCACATACCCATGTGGCCTGGGCCTAACACAGCATTCTGATCAGTCCTGGTCACTCGGGTGCAGGTTGTGAGCACATACTGCACCCTAGGAGCTCAGGATGCACCCCCACCCCAAGACATTTCTTCCCACCACAGAACCATATACATCCCAAACATGGGGTATAGGCATTGGGCTGGATCATGGCCCACTTGTTCCTTTGTGAATTAGTCTCTATGATGGAGGAGCAAGCCCAGGAACAGGTGGGTTCCTGACATCCTTGCTGGCATCAAATTATTTGGAAACCTACCCAGGTGACCTGCGAATGACAAGCACTAGATAAAGAAAGTTGTTGGGGAGGGGCATGCCTGGCAGCACCCTGCAGTTGCCCTGGCCTGTGGAACTAGAGTCAGATGTCAGTACTCCCCTGACCAGGCCCCAGCTACAGTGTCCCTGCAACCTAGGCTCCAGTGTCATTGCCTCTCACATAAAGCTCCAAGGCTGCTGGCACCTGAAGAACCACGTGCCCCACTAAACCTTGCTCCCTGCCTTGGTGTGGTCCATGGCCCAGGCCTCCTGTGGAATCTGAGCTCCGCCTCCATACAGAGACCCTACCACAGTATGTATGCACTTCCAGCCACACGAGCAAGCCAATCTACAGCCCCTGCAGCCCACACTGGCTGAGTTGTGGCACTGGCTCCATGTGACCCCTGCCTCAGGTATCTTTTCCTATCTCACATGGATAGGCATTCTGGACGTCAGTGCCCAAAGGGGCACAGCTCACTCAGGAGCACCTCCTAAAGCTGCCCTCCTGTATCTCCATGGGTCCACTCCTGAGGCTCACTTTGGCTGTCCCACCAAGACAACCTGCTCCCAAGCACATGCCTCATGAATCCTGGTCATCCACTCACCTGGGACCTAGGAGGCATAGGTGTCCCTCTGGCAGCAGGGCTCACTGAAAGACACAGTGGGGAGAAAGGAGCTGAGGAAGGTGCACCCAGTGTGCCTCATGGTTTCAGCGCATGGTCAGCACAAACCAAGGCCAAGGAGGAAGGAGCTTGGTGGAACTTGCATGAAAGGTTGCTCTTGCATGGGGACTACATCCTTGCCTGGGTAGCTTGGAGATCTCCACTTCCCAGGTTCTCCTCCCCATGAAGGTATGTGGGGACCTCAGGGCCTGATGCACCACTGTCCCTAGGCTGGGCCTCAGCGTAATCCTATCGAGCATGATTTTTAAGTCATCATCTCTCTTCAAGGCAGTATGAGGTCTCATCATCGACCCAACCCCAGAAACCACATCATGGGAAGTCCTTGGTGCCATCCCAACTCTTGGGCCTGGATGGATTGGCTTACCTCATTGTGGACATTTCATTCTCTCATAGGGCTGGCAAATCAGTTCATGGGCTGCTGGGGCCTTGACCACAACCCTGCCCCAGAGGCAGTAGAACCCATGGAGCCTTCCTATGGTGACATTATCTGTAGGGCAGGGAAGGGGACAGATGTGAAAAGACAGCAGCGGCAGGTAGAGTATAACAGTTCCAGGTTTGCTTGGCCGCAGCACCCAGGTGATGCTTTTTAGGAGGCTACATGTAGTGTGGTGGATTGGTAAGCTCTGCACACTTTGCAGGTAATCCGCTGGGCCTGTTGGTCACTGGGCCAAGAGGGCCACTCAGGCTGGGTCCTCCTGCCAGTAGCAGCATTCTCCATTGCTCCATCTTCTCCCCAAGATACAGGTTCTGGCCAGGATCTGGGCTAAACAAGCAAGGTCTGACACAGCCTTGGTATCTGAAGACTGATGACATGAGAGACACTCAAGGAGGCTCCCATGGGGCCCTACCCCTGGCAACATGGCCTCCTAGTCCAGGCCAGGACACAAAGGCCTAGACTGCATGCACACACTGGATCCTGGGAGCTCAGGCTGTGTCCCATGAAGATATATTCCTCCTATGGTCACTGCCCACTGCAGTCATGTACACATCCCAAAATGGGGTACAGGCATGGGGCTGGACCATTGCTCAGTCCTCCAGTGGGCCTTGGAACCTCCAGGGGAGCAGAGGAAGTCTGGATCTAGTGGGTCCGTGGTATCCTTGCTGGCCTTAACTCAGGTCAAGGCCCACCCATGTGGCCTGCGAACACAAGCCCATGGCTGAAACAACTGCGGGGAGGATGTGGGGTGTTGGCACCACCCTATAGGTGCTATGGGCAGTGAGTTGGCATGGCCCTATTGGGCACCAGGTAGAGCCTTCCTGTAGCTTAGGCTCAAGCACTTCTGTGACCCATTTGAAGCTCCCTGGCTGCCAGGCACCTGCAGAGCCAGCTGCCATGGCAAACCTCCCTCACTGCTTTGTGTGGTCTTCCCTTCTACAGTACCTGGGCCCTGCAACCACAAAGAGGCCTCATCCTAAGTATCTGACACTTCTGGCCACCCAGAGCCTCTGCAGCTCACCTAGGATAACTAGGGGCACTGGCCCCATGAGAAACCCACACCAGAATTCATTGCCATCATTCTGTTGTCCCTACACCAGGCCAGGGATTCAGGCAAGGTGTGCTGGACCTCAAAGCACAAAGTGGCATAGCTTGCTCTAGAGCACAGCCTAAGGCTGCCTCCCTGTGTCTCTGTGGGTCCAGCCCTCAGGCTTGCATTGGGTGACCTGCCCTGACACTCAGCTCCTCCCCAGAGGCCCCATGATACTCTCCATCCACTCACCTGGGTTCTGGGACACAAGGATGAACCACCAGGTAGCACACCACACTGAAAGAGACAAGAGGATGAAAGGAACTGAAGAAGGAGCCTCCAGCAGGGCCCTCAACTCAGTCATTAGGGAGCACACATCAAGCCCAAGGAGGAAGAAGCTTGAGTGGATCCTGTAGAACCAACTGAACCCGACTGGGGATAGCATCCTGGCCTGGGGTTCTCCAGTCCCCACATTCTCTCCTGGAAGACTCATGTGTACCCCAGGATCCTCTTGCACCACTGTCACTAGGCTGGGCCTCAGCGTAATCCTATTGAGCATGATTTTTAAGTCATCATCTCTCTTCCAGACAGTATGAGGTCTCATCATCGACCCAATCCCAGGAACCACACAGCAGGAAACCCTTATGCTAGCCCACCTTTGGGACTTAAAAGAATTGGCTTACCTCAAGAAGTCCTAGATGATTCTTTTGCAAACATGATTGCAACATCGGCTCATGGGACTCTGGGACCTTGACCACAGCCCTTGCTGCCATGGCATTGGACCCCACGGGAGATTCCCCTGCTGACATCATCTGTGGAACAGAGAAGGAGACAGGTGTGAGAAGGCAGGAACAGGCTAGGATACACTGTTCCAGAGCGTGCTTTGGCCCTACTGGCCCAGGTGATGCTATCTAGGAGGCCACCCCTGTAGGAATGGAGGGTCAGTCAAGCTCCACCCACCTTACCTGCTCCTTCTGGGTCTGTTGGCCACAGGGTAGAGAAGCACACCTAGGCTGGAACGCCCTGCCTGCTGGAAGGAAGTTATCCCACTGCTCTTTTTACCCCTTGACCCAAAGGTTCTAGTCAGGACCCATGCTGGACAACCAAGAACTAGAACACCTTAGCCCAGAGGATCTATCCCCAAGACACACTTAAGGAGGTGCTCTTGGGGCCCTGGGCCTAACAACACAGTGTTCCAACCAAGCCTGAGTGCTCAGTTGTGGCTGCATGCATACACTGCCTCCTGGGAGCTCAGGCTGTGTCCCCCAGATATACTTCCTCCTATGGTCGCTGCCTACCTCAGAACCACACATATTTCCAACATGGGTACAGGCAATGGATTGGAACATGGCCTACTCCTCCCATGGGGAATTGTTCCCTCCCATGGAGGAGTGTGAAACTGGGACTAAAAGGGTCACTGGCATCCCTGTTGGGTCAGTTCATTTGGAAGCCAATCTATATGCCCTGTGAATGCCAGCCCCTGGACAGGGCACGTTGTGGTAAATGGGCATGCCTGGCACCACACAGCAGGTGCACTGACCTGTGGAAATTAAGTCAGGTGTCAGTACTCCCTGACCAGGCACCAAATGGAGCATCCTTGCAACCTAGGCTCCAGTGTCCCTGCCACCCATGTGAAGCTCCCAAGCTGCCTAGCACCTGCAGAGCTGGTTGCCCTGCCAAACTGTCCTCCTTGCCTCGGTGTGGTCGAGGGCCAGGGTCTCCTATGGAATCTGAGCTCCATCCCCATACATAAAGACCTGATCACCAGTGCCTGCATGTTTCTGCCCATACCAGCAAGCCAACACAGAGTACCTGCAGCCCACATTGGCCAAGTGGCAGCACTGGCCCCACATGACTCCTCTCTTAGGAAACATTTCCATCTCTTGCTTGGCCCCTGCACCATGCTAGGGGTTCAGGCAAGGTGCTGTAGACCTCAGAGCCCAAAAGATCACAGCTCACCCAGAAGCACTGCCATAGCTGCCTTCCTGAAGCTCCTTGCATCCAACCCTCAGTCTCACTTGGGTGACCCGCCAAGGACACTGCTCACCAACACATGACACATGACCCTAGACATTTACTCTCCTGAGAACTGGGGAGCAACTGTGTCCTACTTGGCAACAAGGTTCACTGAAAGAACCAATTGGAAGAAAGGAGCTATGGAAGCAGCAGCCAGTGTAGCACCAACTGTTGGCCAATGAGGAGCACACATCTGCCCTACACAGGCCCAATGACAACCTCCATCCCATTACTTAGAACCCCAGGTCCAAGGGTTCCCCATCAGGCAGCTGGTCCCATTGAAAGATACTGGAGCCCAAAGGAGGTAAGGAAGGAGCCCCCAGCCTTGCCCCGCAACTCAGATAGCAGGGATCACAATCAAGCCCAAGAAAGAAGGATCTTGTGCCAATCCTACATGAGTAGATGATCCTACATGTAAACCATGTTCTGGTCTGAGGGGGGGGGGTAGGGCGTCCGGTCTCCAGTCCCCAGGGTCTCCTCCCATGGAAGGCATCTGGTTACCCCAAGGTCCTCTTGCACCACTGTCAAGAGGTTGGGCCTCAGCATAATCCTATTGAGCATGAAGTCATCGTCTCTCTTCAAGACAGTATAAAGGCAAATCATCAACCCAACTCCAGGAACCACACCATGAGAATTTCTTGGTTCTAACTGATCTCAAGGGCCTTGATGGTTTGGCTTACCTTGGGCAGTCCTGAGCATTTCCTTTGCCTACCAGACTCATAGCACCAGCTCATGGGCTGCTGGGGCTTCAACAACAGTCTTGGCCCATGAGATACTAGGCCCTACCGAGGCTTCCCTTGTGAAAACATCTGTAGAACAGAGTGGGGGTCAGGTGCGAACAGACTGCAGGGGCAGGCTAAGGTGCACATGTTACAGAGTGTGCACTGGCTCAGTTGGCCCAGGTGAGGCTTCCAGGAGGCTACAACTGTAGGTGTGTTGGTTTGGGTAAGCTCTGCCCACCTTGCTGGACAACTACGGGGTCTGTTAGTGTGGGTCACCATGAATGAAGCATCTAATGCCACTGCTCCTTCCTTCCCTGTGACCTAAGTGTGAATGGTACCTGGGCTGGAAATTGAAGCACTAGCCCTATGTTAGTGTCAGAGACAATTGGCACAAAATGTACCCAAGGATTCTCCAGTGGGGACCCAAACCTTCCAAAACTGTCTCTATCCATGCCCGAACACTCAGGTGCAGGCTGGGTGCACACACTGCCTCCCAGGAGCTCAGGCTATACACCTCGGGGACAGCTTCTGTCCATGGTAGCTGCCCACCAAAATCCCATACACATCCCGAAGGTAGGGAAAGGGATTTAGTTTGGACCATGGCCCACTCTTCTATGTGACCTCGGGGCATCCTGTGCAGGAGTGGGAGCTGGGACCAAGATGGGCCCTAACATCTTTAGTGGGCTCAACTCAGTCCAAAGCCCACTCACTGCAAGGGACCACCAGTTCTTGGTCGAGACAAGCAGTGGGGATGGAGCATGCTGGGCACCATTGTACAGGTGCCCTGGCCTGGGGGTCAGAAACCCATCATTGGGCACTGACTAGAGGGCCCCTGAGTCCTATGATACATAGGCCTTGTGACCTACATGAAACTCCAGGCTGCCAGGCACAGGCAGCGACAGCTGTCCCACCAAACCTCCCTCCCTGATAGGGTATCCTCAGCCCAGGCCCCCTGCTGAATCTAAAATCAAGCCTTACAGAGAGCCCCAATTCCCTGTGTCTACTCACTTCCAGCTATACAATAAGGCAATACAAGGCTGCTGCAGCCAACATAGGACAAATTGGAGGACTGGCCCACATGAACCCTCTCCCAGAAATCATTGCCATTCCTTGCTTTTCCCTTGCACCAGGCCAGTTTTGGGTAAGGTAATCTGCACTTCAGAGCTCATAAAGGGCACAGCTCACTCAAGAGCACTGCACAGGGGCTGGTACTGTGACGTAGCAGGTAAAGTTGCTGCTTGCAGTGCCGGCATCCCATATGGGTGCCAGTTCTAGTATCGGCTGCTCCACTTCCAATCCAGCTCTCTGCTATTGCTTAGAAAAGAATTAGAAGATGGCCCAAGTCCTTGGGCCCCTGCACCAGCATGGGAGATTCAGAAGAAGTTCCTGGCTCCTGGCTTTGGATTGGCACAGCTCCGGCCGTTGAGGTCATCTGGGGAGTGAACCAGTGGATGGAAGACCTCTCTGCCTCTCCTTCTCTCTGTGTGTAACTCTGACTTTCAAATAAATAAATAAATCTTTAAAAAAGCACTGCCCAAAGCTGAGTTCCTAAATATCTGTGGGTCACCACATCAAGCTTGCATTAGGTGACCTGCCCAGAACACCCGCTGACCCACACAGTCCCAATGACACCCTCCATCTACTCACCTAGAACTCCAGGTCCAAGGGTTTTCTTCCAGGTAAATCTTCTCACTGAAGGACATCAGGGGATGAAAAGAGCTGAGGAAGGAGCATTCAGAGCAGCCCTGGAACTCAGACATCAGTGAGCACATACCACATCCAAGGAGGATGGAGCTTTGGTGCATCCTGCATGAGCAGCCCCTACTGCCTGGGGACTGCATCCTGATTTGGGGGCCCTCGAGGTCCATAGTCCCCAAGGATTCCTCCCCTGGAAGGCACCTGGTTACCCCAAGATCCTCTTGCACCACTGTCACTAGGCTGGGCCTCAGCGTAATCCTATTGAGCATGATTTTTAAGTCATCATCTCTCTTTGAGACAGTGTGAGGTTTCATCATCGACCCAACTCCAGGAACCATACCATGTGATCTCACTGGCATCATTCCACTTACCTTGGAGAGTTATGGATGTTTCCTTTGCCAACAGGACTGGAACCAGTAGCTCATGGGATGCTGAGACCTTGACCATAGCACTAGACCCAGGGGCACCAGATTCCACTGATCTTCCTTTGGTGACATCATCTATGGGACAGGAAGGGGGCCCAGTGTGAACAGAGAGCTGGGCAGGTTAGGATACACTGGTTCTGGGGCATGCTTTGGCTCTCTTGGCTCAGGTGAAGCTATCCAGGAGCCCACCCCTGTAGCTATGATGGGTCACTCAAGTTCCACCCACCTGGCCTGCAAACTGCTGGGCATTGTGGTCACTGGGACAGAGAGGGTCACTTGGATAGGATCATCCTGCTGGAAATGTCTACCCTCACTGTTCATTCCTGCCCCTGATACCTAGGTCCTGAAAAGGAACTGGACTAGTCATTAGGCAATGACTAGGCCTAAGCATAAGAGTGCCATTCCAAAAAGACATACCCAAGGAGCCCTTCATGTGGCTGTGAGCCTATCAAAATGGCATTGCCAGTCATGCCCAGGTGCTCAGTTGCAGGTTGCTTACACACAGTGTATCCTGGGAGCTCAGGCAGTCATCACATCTGGAGATACCATCTTCCTATGGTTGCTGCCTGCCATCTTTGTATACACATCCCAAAGATGGGGTATGGGCATCAGACTGGACCATGGCTCAAGCCTTGGTGTGGAGGAGTGGGAGCCTTGGCTCAGGATGAGCCATGGCATCCTTTCTGGGCTCAACTCATTCTGAAGCCCACTCCTGTTGTCCGCAAATGCTAGTCCATGGACGAGACCAATGGTGGGATGTTGCATGTCTGGCATCACCCTGAAAGTGCCCTATCTCATGTGTTGGCACACTCCAACCATGCAATGCCCAGAGTGTCCCTGAGTCCTAGCATCCATTGGCACTGCAATTCATGTGAAAAATCCCAGGGTACCAGGCAAGAGTAGAGCTGGCTTCTTCACCAAACCTTGCTCCCTGCCATAGTAACTTTAGCCTGGGCCTCCTAGTAAATCTAAAATCAATTCTTGCACATCCTGTTGCACCACTGTCATTAGACTGGGCTTCAGCATGATTTCTAAGTCATCATCTCTCTTCGAGACAGTAAAGGTCTCATCATTGACCTGACCCCAGGAACTACACCATGGGATGCCAATTTCTCTATGCCACCTGTAGGGCCTAGATAGACTGACTTACCTTGGGCACTCAGGGATGTTTCCTACATCTATGGGGCTTGCACTAGCAGCTTAAGGGCTGCTGGGTCCTTGACAGCAGCTCTTACCCTGGGGCACAGGAAACCACAGGAACTTCTTCTGCTGACATCATCTGTGGGAAAGGGAGGGGTCAAGTGTGAGCAATCAGCAGGGTCAGGCTCTGGGTACACTGATTCCAGAGTGTGCTTCTCCCCATCAGCCCATGTGAGGCTATCTAGGCGGCCACCTATTTTGTTGTGCAGGGTCAGGCAAACTCCACCCACTACACTCAAGAACTGCTGGGTATGTTGGTCATGAAGCAAGAGATGCTTACCCAGGCTTGGTCACCCTGACAGCCTGAAGGGGATACCCTCACTGCTCCTTTCTGCCCTTTACCCCAAGGTCCTTGTTGAGACCCAGGCTGGACAACCAAGAGCTGGCACACCCTTGGCCCAGAGAACTCATCGTATGAGATGCACCCAACGAGACCCCTGTGGGGATCTGGGCCTAACAACACAGCATTCTGACCAGGCAAGGCCACTCAGGTGCAGGATGTATGCACACACTGCATCCTGGGAGCTCAAGCTGTTCTGCCCGGAAACACTTTTGTGCTGTGGTTGCTGCCCATTACAGAACTGTATAAATCCCAAACATGGGGATTTAGTCCCTCCCATGGGGGAGATGGAACCCAGGCCCAGGAGAGTCCCTGGCATCCTTGTTGGGCTCCACTCATTTGGAAGCCCACCCATGTGGCCTTCAAATGTAGACATTTAACAAGGATAGCCATGGGGAAGGGGCATGCCCGGCATCATATTGCAAGTGCTCTGGCCTGTGGCATTTAAGTCAGGTATTGGCATACCATTGACCAGACACTGGCTGGAGCTTCCAAGCAATCTAGGCTCCAATGTCCTTGGGACCCATGTGAAGCCCCCAAGCTGCCCAGCACCTGCAGAGCTGGGTACCTTGTCAAACCTCCTCCCCTTCCTCGGTGTGCCCTGGGGCAGGGCCTATAATTGAATAGGAGCTCCACCTCTGCAAAGAGATTTGATCACCAGTGCCTTTACACTTCCATCCATACGAGCAAAGCAATCCAGAACCCTTGCAGTGCACATTGGCCGAGTAGCAGCATTGTCCACACTCCCTCAGGAACTGCTTCCATTCCTTGCTTGGCCCATGCACCATGCCAGGTGTTCAGGCAAGGTGATCTGGATCTCAGAGTCCCAAGGGGCACAGAGCTCCCAGGAACACTGCCTTCCTGAAGCTCCATGGGTCCACTCCTGGGGCTCACTTCAGGTGACAAGCCAAGGACCCTGTTTCCTCACACATGACTCATGACCTCAGCCATCCACTCACCTGGGAACTGGGGTGCAATGGTTCCCCGCTAGGCAGCAAGGCTCACTGAAAGACATGAAGGGATGAAAGGAGCTGAGGTAGGAGCATAGCCACCAATCATCAGGGAGCACACACCAAGCCCAAGGAAGAAGGAGTTTCAGCAGATCCTAGAGGATCAACAGCTCCTGTCTGTGGACTGTGTCCTTCTTAGGCAGTCTTGGGGCCTCAAGTCCCCAGGTCTCCTCCCCTGGAAGACACCTGGTTACCCCAAAGTCCCTTTGCAGCACTGTCACTAGGCTGGGCCTCAGCGTAATCCTATTGAGCATGATTTTTAAGTCATCATCTCTCTTCAAGACAGTGTGAGGTCTCATCATCGACCCAAACCCAGGAACCACACAGCAGGATCCCACTGGCACCATCTTCCCTCTAGGGCTCAGATGGATTGGCTTACCTCAGGGAGTCAAGGACGTTTCCTACACCAACGGTGCTGGCAGAATCCATTCATAGGCCACTGGGGCCTTGAACACAGCCCTTATCCCTGGGAAACAGGAATCCACAGACATCATCTGTGGACATGGAGAGGGTCAGGTGTGAGCAGACAGCAGGGGCAGGCTCTGGGTATACTGGTTCTAGAGCATGCTTTTTTTTCTAGCCTTCAGATGCATTGTTTAATATACATCAAGATACAGGATACCAAACTATATTTACTATTTATAGTAGGAAAGGACAACAGTTGTGTACAAATTGGCGAATGAACACAACAGAGCCCACAAAAACCCCACTGAATCCAAACAGTGAAACAGGAAATGAGAACATCTTCAGCAAATTTCAAGCAAGCCAGAGATGTGGACTCATTCAGCTGACTGTAAGAAAGGCAGAGAAGGCCACCCAGCAGCAGTGAGTCCTTCTAGAAGGACAACAGGCAGAAGTATGAAAATTTTAATGGGTACATATCCCAAAATATACTCACGGAACTGAAATCACCTACTAATGCATAAATTCAGTACATATTTGGAAAAAGCATAGCACAGATTCATAGAAGTGCTCTTCCCATGGGTTACCTTTGTAACCACCCTCGGAAGTGGTTCTTTACACAATAACAAACTGTAAAGTCAGCAATACTTAGTCTTACTTTTTAATATAGAGACCATAATTGTTCATCAGAAGCAGGTGAGGCTATCCAGGAAGCCACCCTTATCGGGGTGGAATGTCGGGCATCTCACCCACATGGCCCACAAACAGGCCTGTTTGTCACTGGGCCAGAGATGCCCATTTGACTATGAGGCCTTTGTAGGAGGTGCCGCAGTGCTGCTTCCTGCTCCTGAACCCAAGGTCCTGGAGGGGTAACCCAGCCCTGGCACAGCCTTGGACCAGCGGACTGGTCACATGAGAAATAGCAAAGGAGGCCCCTGTGGGGTCCTGGGCCTAACAACATGGTATTCTGACCAGGCCTTGGCACTCTGCTGCAGGTTGCACGCACATACTGCATCCCAGGGGCTCAGAATAGACACTTTCTCTTGGGTTGCTGCCCCCTGCAGAACAGCACCCATCCCAAACATGGGGTGCGTGTGGTCATTGGGCTGAACCATGGCCCTCTCTTCCCATGGGGAATTGGTCCCTCCATGGAAGAGAGGGAGTCTGGGTCCAGGAGGGTCCCTGGCATCCTTGCTGGGCTCAACAGTTTGGAAGCCCACCCATGGGGACAGCCCCTGCACAAGGCAAGCTGTGGAGCAGGGTATGCCTGGCATCATTCTGCAGGTGCCCTGAACTGTGGAACGTCATCAGGTGTCAGCACCCTCCCTGACTAGGCACTGGCTGGAGCATCCCTGCAACCTAGGCTTGAGGGTACTTAGGATGAAAATGAAGTTCCCAGGCTGCCCAGCACCTGCAGAGCCTCCCTTCCTGCCTAGATGTGGTCCAGGTCCAGGGTCTCATATGGAACCTTCCCCCTTACAGAGAGACACTATCCCCATACCTCCAGCTACACCAGCAAGCCAATCCAGAGCCGCTACTGCCCATACTGGCCATGTGGTGGCACTGGACCTCATGAATCTACCTTCAGGAAACATTTGCATTCCTAGCTTGGCCCAGTGCTCAGATCCGCTGTTTTGGACTTCAGTGGCCAAAGGGGCACAGCTCACTCAGGAGCACTTCCTGAGGCTGCCTTCTGGTGTCTCTGTTGGTACACTCCTGGGTCCAGCTTCAGCTCACCTACCCAGATCCCTTGCTCCCATGCACATGCCTTGGGAACCCTCAGAATCCACTCACCTGGGACCCAGGGCACAAAGATGCTCCACCAGGCAGCCAGGCTCACTAAAAAACACAAAAGGGAGAAAGGAGATGAGGAAGGTGCATACAGTTTGTCTCAATCCATCAGCTCAAGGGGGGCACAAATGAAGCCCAAGGAGGAAGGTGCTCTGGTGGAACCTGAACGAGCAGCTGTGCCTGCCTGGGGACTGCATTCTTGCCTAGGGGGCCTGAAGGTTTCCATTCTCCAGCATCTCCTCCCCTGGAAGGCTTATTGGGCAACCAAGTCCTTACACCACTGCCACTAGGCTGGCCTTAGAATACAGCATGATTTTTAAGTCATCATCTCTTTTTGAGACAGTATGAGGTCTCATCATCTACCCAACCAGGAATCACACGATGGAAGCCCATTTGCTATCCCATGTCAAGGGCCTGGATGCATTGGCTTACCTCAGGGAGTCACAGGCATTGCCTTCTTCAACAGGACTTCCACCACTAGCTCTTTGTGCAGCTGGAGCCTTGACCACAGCCCTTGCTCCTGGGGCAGTGGAAGCCACGGGGGCTTCCCTTGGTGACATCCTATGTGGGACAGGTACAGGGATGGGTGTGAATAGACAGCAGGAGCAAGTAGGGTTCATTGGTTCCAGGCATGCTTTGGCCCTGTCACCCTATTTGAGGCTTCCCAGGAGACCACCCTGTCAGTGTGGTGGAACTGCAAGCTCCGTCCACCTTGCCTGCGAATGCCTGGGCCCATTGGTAACCAGGCCAAGGGGGCCACTCAGGCCAGGTCCCACTGCCAGAAATGACTTCCCCACCATTCTACCCTTCTCCCGTGATCCAGGAACTGGACTGGACCTAGGCTGAACAAGAAAATGCTGGCACAACCTTGTTATCTGAAGACTGGTCACATGATACACACCCAAGAAGGTTGTCTGGGGCCATAGCCTAGGCCACACAGCCTCCTATTCCAGGCCAGGGAACCAAGGGGCAGGCTGTATGCACACACTGGATCCTGGAAGCTTAGGTTGTGCCTCCCAAAGACATCTTCCTCCTATGGTCACTGCCCACTGCAGTCACATACACATCCCAAAGATGTAGTATAGTCATTGAGCTGGACAATGGCCCAGTTCTCCAGTGGGACCTTGGAACCTCCCATGGAGGAGAGCAAGCCGAGGCCCAGAAGGAACCTTGGCACCCTTTCTGGGCTCAACTCAGGCCAAGTCCCACCCATGTGGCCTGAAAACACAAAGCCCTGGCTGAAGCATGCAGGGGAAATGGGGCATGACTGGCATCACTCTACAAGTGCCTCAACTTGAGGGTTGGCATCCTCCTTCTGGGCACTGGCCAGAGCATTCCTGCAGCCTAGGCTCCAGTGGCTCCATGACCCACATGAGATTCTCGGGCTTCCAGGCACCTGCAGAGCTGGTTGTCCCATCAATTGTCTCTCACTGACCTGGTGTGACCCTCAGCCCAGGCTCCCAGTGGTCACTGCTGTGCTCAGAGGCCTGTACCCAGTGCGCGTCTACTTCCAGTCACATGACCAAGGCAATGCAGAGCTACTGTAGCCCACTTAGGGGCAACTAAAGGCATTGGCCCTATGTGAACCCTCCCTCAGGAACCTTTTCCATTCCTCACTTTGCCCTACACCAGGCCAGGGGTCCAGGCAACTCGTTTTTCACTTCAGAGCCTAAAGAGGCACAGCTTACTTAGGAGCCCTGCCTGAGGCTGCCTTCTAGAGTCTCCAGGAGTCCACCACTCAGACTCTCATCCAGTGACCCTACCAGATACCATTTTGCACACCCCCTCAATGACATTTTCTATCCACTCACCCAGAACCTAGGAGCAAGGGTGCCCCGCCTGGTTGCTCATCTCACTAAAAGACACAAGGAATAGAATGGAGCTGAAAGTGGAACACCCAGCAGGTCCTCACAACTCAGCCAGCAGAGAGCAGACACCAAACCAAGGAGGAAGGAGCTTGGGATGCATCCATCATGAGCAGCTGCTCCTTCTGTTGTACCTCAACCTGGCCTGGGGATCCAAAACATCTCTTGTCTCCAGGGTCTCCTCCCTTGCGAGGGACCTGCTTACCCCAAGGTCCTCTTGCAGCACTGTCACTAGGCTGGGTCTCATCATAATCCTATTGAGCCTGATTTTTAAGTCATCATCTCTATTCGAGACAGTATGAGGTCTCATCATCAACCTAACCCCAGGAACCACAATATATGATCCCACCAGCCTCATTCCACTCAAGGGCCCTGATGTATTGGCTATCTTGGAGAGTCATAAATGTTTCCTTTGCCAATGGGAAAGCAGGGTCTCATGGGCTGCTGAGATCTGGACCACAGCCCTTGCATCTGTGGCACTGGAACCTTTGTAGACATAATCTGTGGGACAGGAAGGGGGTCTGGTGAGAATAAGAGAGCTGGGATAAGCTCTGAGTACACTGGTTCCAGAGAATGCTTTAACCCCATGGGCATATGGTTGACTATCCAGGAGGCCACCCACGTTGGTATGGAGTATTGGGAAAACTTCTCTCACCTTACCCACAAACAGTTGGGCCTGGTGGTCACTGGACCAGATAGACCCACTTAGTCCACCTCACGTGTCCAGAGGGGCTACTGCTACCCCTTTTTCTGGCACCCTGCCTGAAAGTCATACCTGGGATCTGAGCAGGCCAACCAAGCTCAGGAACAATCTTGTCTCCAGAACACTGGCTACAGGAGGCACATCCTGTAGCTGTGGTGGGTCACTCAAGTTCCACCCACCTGGCCTGCAAAACTACTGGGCATTGTGGTCACTGGGACAGAGAAATCCACTTGGATAGAATCGTTCTGCTGGAAGCGCCTACTTCCAGCTCCTTCTTGCCTCTGATACCCAGGTCCTGATAAGGAACCGGATTGTACAGGCAGGCAATGACTAAACCTAAGTATGAGAGGACAATTCCAAACAGACATATTCAAGAAGCACCCTCACGGAGCCCTGGAACTACGAACATGGCATCACTAGACATGCCCTTATGCTAAGGTGCAGGCTGCATGAACACAGTGCATTCTGAGTCCAGGCCATCCCCCATGGAGACAACTTCCTCCAATAGTCGCTGCCAAAAGTGTCACATACACAACTGAAAGATGTATTACAGGCATCGGACTGGATCACTTCTTGCTGTCTCCTGTGGAGGAGTAGGAGCCCTAGATCAGGAGGGTCCATGGCATCCTTGCTGAGCTCAACTCAGTCTGAAGTCCACCTATGTGGTCTGCGAACACCAGTCCATGGATGAGAAAAGTAGTGGGATGTTGTGTGCCTGGCATCACCCTGAAAGTGCCCTGCCCCACATGTTGGCAAACCCTGGACATGCATTGCCCAAAGTGTCTCTGGGTCTTAGGTTCTCTCTGACATGGGAACCATGTGAAAATCCCACTTGCCAGGCAACAGCAAAGTGGCAGCCTGCCAAACCTTCCTCCCTGCCATGGTAACTTGAACCCAGGCCTTCTACTTAAACTAAAATCATGCCTTGCACAGAGGCCTGATCCACAGTGTCCACCCAATTCTGGCTATACAGCAAGGCAATCCAGGGTGGCCGTAGCCAACCAGTGGCAAATGGGGGGACTGACCCCATGTGAATCCTCCCACAGAAATCACTGATATTCCTTGCTTTACCCCCTCTCCAGGCCCGGGTTTCAAGTAAGGACCTCAGAGTCCAAGATGGGCACAGCTCAGTCAGGAACATGGCCAGAGTCTGCCTTCCTAAATCTCTGTGGGTTCACACCTCACACTTGCATAAGGTGACTTGTCCAGAACTCCTGCTGACCCACACAGGCCGAATGACACAGTCCATCCACTCACGAGGTACCCCTGATGAAAGGGTGCGTGGCCAGTCCACACTTTTCCCTGAAAGGCAGAAGGGGATGAAAGGACCTGAGAACAGAGCCCCCAGTGCAGCCCACACCTTGGATAGCAGCGAGTATACACCATACCAAAGGAAGATGGAGCTTGGGTACATTCTCCATGAGCAGCCTCTCCTGCCTGGGGACCACATCATGGCATGAGGGGTCTCAAATTCACCAGTCCCCAGGGTTCCTCCCCTGGAAGGCACTTGTTTACCCCAAGGTCCTCTTGACCCACTGTCACTAGGCTGGGACTCAGCGTAATCCTGTTGAGCATGATTTTTTAGTCATCATCTCTCTTCAAGACAGTATGAGGTCTCATCATCGACCCAACCAGAGGAACCACATCATGGGATATGGATTGCCTTGTCTCACCTCTAGAGCCTGGATGGATTGGCTTACCTTGGCAAGTCAGGGACTGCCAATGGGGTTGGCACAAGCAGCTCATGGGCTGCTGAGACCTTGAGCACAGCTCTTTCTCCAGGGGCACAGGAACCCACAGGGCCTTCCTCGCTGACATCATCTGTGGGACAGGAACAGGTAAGGTATGAATAGACAGCAGAGTCAGGCTCCAGGAACATTGGTTCCAGAGTGTGCTTTCTTCCCCACCAGCCCAGGTGAGGCTATCCAGGAGGCCACCCATGTTGGTGTGCAGGGTCTGGCAAGCTCCACCCCTATTATCCACAAACTTCTGGGTCTATTGGGCATGGGACCAGAGAGGCTCACTCAGGCTGGGCCACCCTGGTAGCTAGAAGGGGCTACTCCCATTGCTTCTTTCTGCCTTTGACCCCAAGGTCCTGGTCAGGACATAGGCTGGACAACCAAGAACTGGCACACATTGGCCCAGAGGATAGGTCACATGAAAGGCACCCAAGGAGGCACTGTGGGGCTCTGGATCTAAAACACCATTCTGACCATGCCTGGGTGCTCAAGTGCAGGCTGCATGTACACACTTCATACCAGCAGCTTGGGATGTGCCCACCAGAGACATTTCCTTTTCTAATCACTGCCTACTGCAGAACCATACATGGCCCACTCCTCCCATGGGGAATTTCTCCCTCCCATGGAGGAGCAGGAGCCTAGGCCCAGCAGGGTCCTTGGCATCTGGCATCCTTGCTGGGCTCCAGGCTTTCAGAAATCTACCCATGTGGTCTATGAACACAGGGCCTGTAGCAGGCAAGCTGTGGGGAATGCATGTACCTGGCACCACCCTGCAGGGTGAACAAGCAAGTGCTAGCACAGCCTTGGTATCTGAGACTGGTGACGTGACACACATCCAAGAAGGTTTCCTTGGGGCCCTAACTTACCATAGCTAACACTAAGGGCCAGGCTGCATGTGCACACTTGATCCTGGGAGCTCAGACTGTGTCCCCTAGAGACACATTCCTCCTTTGTGTTCCTCCTTTGGTGCAGTCATGTACATATCCCAGATATGGGGTACAGGCATGGGGCTGGGCCATGGCCTACTCCTCACTTTGGAACAGGAAACCTCCCATGGCAGAGAAGAAGCCTGGGCCCAGGAGGGGCTTTGTCATTATTACTGGGCTCAACTCAGGTTTAGGACCCCTCTGGGCCACAAACACAAGTCACTGACTGAGGTTAGCAGTGGAGATGAGACCACCCTATAGCACCATGGCCTGTGTGTCAGCATCCCCCTAATGTGTACTGGCCAGAGCATTCCTGCAGCCTGGGCTCCAGCGGCCCCATGATCCATGTAAAGCTCCCAGGCTTCCAAGCACCTGCAGAGTTGGCTTCCCCACCAAAACTCCCTCACTGCTTCGGTTTAGTCCTCCGCCCAGGTCTCCCAGGGAATATGATCTATGCCCTGTTCAGAGGGCTGATCTCTAGTGTCTGCCCACTTCTGGTCACATGAGTAAGGCAACTCAGAGCTGCTGCAACCCACCTTGGACAAGTGAAAGCACTGGCCCATGTGAACCCTCCCTCAAGAAACATTTCTATTCAATTCTTTGCCCCTGCACCAGGCCAGGGGGCCAGGTGAGTCGTTCTGCTCCTCAGAGCCTAGAAAGGCACATATCACTCACAGCACTGCCTGAGGTTGCCTTCTAGTGTTTCCAGGAGACCACTCAGGCTCCCATTAGATAACCTGCCCAGACCACCTGTTGCCCCACACAGGCCCAGCAATAATCCTCTAACCACTCACCTAGAAGCCCAGGTCAAAGGGTGCCTTCACCAGGCAGCTTGTCCCACTAAAAAAAAAGAAGGGGAAAAAAGGAGCTGAGAAAGAAGCCCCCAGTGCTGCCCTGCTAGACGGCAGGAAGCACACACCATGCCCAAGGAGGAAGGAGCTTGGGCTGCATCCAGCATGAGCAGCCGCTCATTTACGTGGGCCTCAACCAGGCTCAGGGGGTCAAAATGTCTGCAGTCCCCAGGGTCCCCTCCTCTGGAAGGCACCTGGTTACCCCAAAGTCCTCTTGCACCACAGTCACTAGGCTGGGCCTCAGCATAACCCTATTGAGCATGATTTTTAAGTCATCATATTTTTTCGAGACAGTATGAGGTCTCATCATCGACTCAACCCCAGAAAATCCCTGGCGCTATCCCACATTCAGGGCCTGGGTGGACTGGCTTACCTCCGGCAGTCCCAGAAGTTCCTTTTGCCAACCAGACTTGCAGCACCAGCTCTTGGGCCGCTGAGGCCTTACCACAGCCCTTAATCTTGGAGCGCTGGACTCCATAGTAGCTTCCTTGTTGCCATCACCCATGGGACAGGGTGTGAGTCTGGTGTGAACTGAGAGCAGGGGCAGGCAAGGGCACACTGGCTCCAGAGTGTCCTTTGGCTCTGTCAGCCAAGGTTAGGCTTCCAGGAGGCCACCCCTGAAGGTGTCTTGGTTCAGGAAAGCTCTGCCCACTGTGAAAGAAAAACACTGGGCCTGTGGTCACTGACCAGATAGGGGTACTCTGGCAGGGTCACCATGCCTGAAGCAGCTAACCCTATTGCTCCTTCTTCCCCCAAGATCTAGGTCCTGACTGGTACCCAGGCTGGAGATACAAGTGCTAGCCTGTCCTTGTCATCAGAGGACTGTCAGCATGAGGTGGTCCCAAGGATTCCCCATTGGAGATGTGGGCCTCCAACACGGTCTCCCCTTTCAGCCCCAGGTACTCAGGTGCAGGCCGTATACACACAATGCATCCCTGGAGCTCGGGCTGTGCACCTCAGAGACAAATTCCTCCTATGTTCACTGACCACCACAGTCCACCAGACATTCCCAAAACAGGGAAGAGGTTTTCTCCTGGACCATGGCCCACTCTTTCATGGGGACTTGGTGCCCCTCATGCAGGAATGAGAGCTCAGGACCAGGATGGGCACTGACATCCTTAATGAGCTAAATTCAGTCTAAGTCTATCCATGTGGCAAGTGAACATCAGACCTTGCCTGTGGCAAGTGGCGGGGATGGGGCATGTCAGGTTTCACCCAACAGGTGCCCTGGCTGGGTGCTGGCACTCACCTGTCTGGGTACTGGCTGCAGTGTCCCTGTGTCTTAAGCTGTGGACCCCTCAATGCCTGTAAAGCTCCCAGGCTGCCAGGCACCTGCAAAGCCAGCTGCCTTGAAAAACTCCCCTTACTGCTTTGAGTGGTCTTCTGTGGTATCTTAGCAATGTCCCCACAAGCAGGCCTGATCTCCAAGGAAGCCCCCAAGGACCCTGGCCAAACCAACACGGCATTCAGATTAGGCCTGGGAGCTCAGGAAAAGGCTGCATGCACACAGTGCATCCCGGGAGCTCAGGAAGTAGCTCCTCAGGGATACTTCCTCCCACGGTCACTGCCCCCTACCAAAAAATACACATCCCAAACAAGGGGTATGGGCATCAGGCTAGACCATGACCCACTCCTTCCATGGGGAATTGGTCCCTCCTGTGGTTTAGAGATGCCCAGGTTCATGAGGGTCCCTGGCATCTTGATGGGCTCAACTCATTTGGAAGCCCACCCATGTGGTGTGTAAAAGTGTCCCCCTGGACAAGGCAAGCCATGGGATCAATCCACAGGTGTCCTCACCTGTTACACTTAAGTCAGTGTTTGGCACCCCACTGATCGGGCACTGACTGGAGAGTCCCTGCAACCTAAACTCCAGTGTCCTTGTGACCCACGTGCAGCTCCCAACCTTCCCAGCACCTGCAGAGCCAGCTGCCCCATCAAATCTCCCTAGCAACCTTGTAGTGGTCCATGGTCAAGGCATCCTATGGAATCTAAGCTCTACTTTCATATGGAAACCCTATCACCAGTGTATGTATACTTCCATTCATACCAGCAAGCCAACCCAGAGGCCCTGCAGTGCACACTGGCTGAGTACTTGCTCTGCTCCACGTGACCCCTGCCTCAGGAACTGCCTCCAACCTCACGAGGCCCAGTGCTCACATAAAGTGTTCTGGATCTCAGTGCCCAAAGAAGCACAGTTCACGCACGAGCTTGGCCAGAGGCTGCTTCTCGTATCTCTGTGGGTCCACTCCAGGGGCTCCCTTGGCTCAACCACCAACACCCTCTGCTCCCATGCACTTGCCACATGAATCCCCACAATTCACTCACCTGGGACCCAGGACACAGGGGTGTCCTCTGGGCAAAGTAGGGCTCACTGATAGAAACAGTGGGGAGAAAGGAGTTGAGGAGGGTGTGCACAGTGTGGCTCAAGCCATCGGCCCATGGGGAGCACAAAGCCCAAGGAGGTAGGAGCTTTGGCAGAAACTGCTCATGTATCTTCTCATGCCTGGGGACTGTGACCTAGCATTGGTGGTCTTTGTTCCACGACTCAGGTTTGCATTGAGTGATCTGCCCTGACACCCAGTTCCCGAGAAGAGGCTCCATGATCCTTGGCATCTACACACCCGGGACCCAGGATGCAAGGGTGAATTGCTGGGCAGCAAATTCTACTGAAAAAGACAAGGGGATAAAAGAAGATGAAGGGGGAACACTTAGCAGGACATTTCAACGTGGCCAGCAAGGAGCAAACCCCAAGCCCAAGGAGGAAGAAGCTTGGTGAATTCTGCTCGAGCAGCCAATCCTACTTGGGGACTGCATCCTGGCCTGGGGATCCTTGAGGTGTCCAGGCCCCAGGTTTTCTTCCCTTGGAAGGCATTGTGGAACCCAGGGTCCTGCTGCACCGCTGTCACTAGGTTGGGCCTCAGCGTAATCCTATTGAGCATGATTTTTAAGTCATCATCTCTCTTCAAGACAGTATGAGGTCTCATCATCGACCCAACCACAGGAGCCACACCATGGGACCCCATTGCCACTATTTCACCTCTAGGGCCCTGGAGGAATAGCTCACCTCAGGCAGTCAGGGACTTTTCCTTTGCCAATGGGGCTGGTACCAGAAGCTCATGGGTCATGGGCCTTGACCTTGGCCTTGTCCCAGGTACACTGGAACCCACAGGAGCAGAGGGAAGAGGTCAGCTGTGAGTAGACAGCAGGGGCAGGCTCAAAAAATGCTGGTTCCAGATTTTGACTTGACCCCATGGGACCAGATAAGGATTAGCAGGCATGATAGGGTCAGAGAAGCTCCTATCACCTCGCTCACAAACTGCTTGGCCTGTAGGTCACTGCACCAGAGAGGGAAGCTGCTTCCCCCACTGCTTCTTCTTGCAGGTGTCCTGGCCCATGGCACTTAAGTCAGTGGTCAGCATCCCCCTGACCAGGTACCGGCTGGAGCATCCCTGGAACCTAAGCTCCAGCACGCTTGCGACCAACATGAAGCTTGGGCTGCCCAGCACTTGCAGAGCTGGCTGTCCCGCCAAACAAACTTCCCTCCCTGCCTTGGTGTGGTTCACGACATCCAGTGAAATCTGAGCTGCATACCCAGAGACCCTATCCCTAGTGTATGCATACTTTCAGCCACAGAAGCAAGAAAAACCATATGCCCTGCAGCTCACACCGGCCATGTGGTGGCACTGGTCCCAAAGGAACCCTCCCTCAGGAACCATTGCTAACCTCATTTTGCCCAGGGATCATATAAGGCATTCTGGACCTCAGTGCCTAACGGAACACAGCTCAAACAGGAGTGGTGCCCAAGGCGGCTTCCTGTACCTCCATGGGTCTGCTCCTAGGGCTCACTTTGGCTCAACCACCAAGACACTCTGCTTTCACGCATGCCTCATGAAACTCCATCATCAACTCACCTGGGACTCTAGAAGCAAAGGTGCCCATGAGCAGCAGGTCTCACTAAAAAACACAATGGGATGAAGGATCTGAAAAAGGTGCACCCAGTGTGGCACAGCCATGGCCCACAGGGAGCACAAACCAGGTCAAAGGAGGTAGGATCCTTGACATACACGTGACAAGTATCTGCCCATGCCTGGGAACTGTGACCTTGCATAGGTAGCCTCGGGGTCTGCAGTCACCAAGATCTCCTCCCCTGGAAGGCATGTGGGGACTCTGGGGTCCCTTGTACCACTGTCAGTAAGCTGGGCCTCAGCGTAATCCTATTGAGCATGATTTTTAAGTCATCATCTCTCTTCGAGACAGTATGAGGTCTCATCATCGACCCAACCTTAGGAAGTACACCACAGAATGTCCCTTCACCACCCCAAGTTCAGGGCCTGGATGGATTAGCTTACCATTGGAAGCATGGATGTTTCCTACTCCAATAGGCCTGACACCTTCAGCTGCTTGGGCCTTGATGACAGCCCTTGCCACCATGGCAGTGGAACCCACAGGGGCTTCCTTTGGTGACATCATCTGTGGACAAGGAAGGATATAACTGTGAACAGACAGAGGGAACAGTAGAGTACCCTGGCTCAAGTTTAGGCTTTGCCCCTACCAGTCCGGTTGAAATTGCCAGGAGACCATCTTTTAGGCGTGGTGTTTTGACAAGTTCCCCAACCTCGCGTGCGAATGGCTGGGCCTGTCAGACATTGGACCAAGAGGAAACTCGGGATGGGTCTCACTGAGAGATGTGGCTTCCTCCAATGCTCCATCCTGCCTCAGTGACCCAGGTCCAGGCCAGTACCTGAGATGGACAAGCAAGCACTGACATAGCCTTGGCATTTGAAAACTGGTCATAGGAGAGGCCGGCAAGATGGCGGAATAGGAAGGGAGCACACTGATAGTCTGGGGAGAGATGGTTTGATAAAAGTGGAGATACTGCAGGTTCAAGGAAGAGTAGGGGAGGAAACAGCAGAAGAAACTCTTCCGGAACGCGTGACTCACAGCGGACCTGCGTGGAGAGCGTGGGAGCTCACAGTTCGGGACATCAGCGGCAGACTCAACACACCAGCGCTGGAACGCGAGGTGAGCCGAACCTCAATAGCCCGAGACACCGGCAGGCAAGCGGAGAGAGGAGACTAGAGGGAACGACCCCCGGGGGGGGAAGTTCACAAGGCTAACTGGAAGAGAGAGAGAGAGAGAAAAAAGGGTGACTAGTACGGACACGGGTTTCTCTCTCTCCGCTCACCTCTCAAGGGCGAGCAAGACAAAGAGCAGGCGCCATCTTGGACATACGTCATAAGCAGAGCGACCTCAGGTCTGCACCGGCCCTGAGCCTAGCAGAAAAACCTGACTCTGGGCGGGGCGAATTAACAGGAGATTAGGAGCTAGTAAATTTGTGGTGCTACTGAACTGAGACTGTGAAAAAAGAGACGGTGGGGGAGAGAACTCACGGAATTCACGTGAGCACTCTCCAGAGACGCTACAATTCCGTAACTTTGGCAACCCAGTGGGAGGCTGAAGGAGAATTTGAGCCCATTCTGAGGGCCGAACAGATTCCCTGTGGGGATCTTGGGAAAGAGCTTCCGATCTCTGGCTCCTGTGGGTATATCATTTGCCTGCTAACTACCTCCAACTTCGTTCAGCTGTGCGGAATTACTTCCCTTTTGAATCAAAAAAAAAAAAAAAAGAGAGAGAGAGAGAGAGATTTACCACGCCTAACCTGGGAGTGTCACCTTTGGCACACCAAACAGAGCTCTCAGGCCACACCCATCTCAAGCCCTAAGGCTCCATCAAAAACAGATAGTCCACTTAATCTAGAGTCATAGTATAACAAGAAAAAGCACCACAGTGAAGAAACCAAATATCTCCAATATGCCAAATAACAAACGCAAAAACCGAGGTAATAAAAACAAGGAAGTCACCATGACGCCCTCAAATGAAAAAGACACCCCAATTCAAGATTATAAAGATGATGACATAGAAGAAATGCAAGAAGCAGATCTCAAAAAATTGATAAGAACATTAAGAAGTTCTCAAAAACAAATTCTTGAACTACACAAATCCTTAATGGACAAGATAGAAAATCTCTCTCGTGAAAATGAAATATTAAGGAGGAATCAAAATGAAACGAAACAACTAGTACAACAGGAAACTGTGATAGTGACTGAAGTGAAGAATTCAATAGATCAAATGAAAAACACAATAGAGAGCCTTACAAACAGAATGGGTGAAGCAGAAGAGAGAATATCGGACTTAGAAGACAGAGAACAGGAAAGGATACAGTCAGACCAAAGAAAAGAAGAGGAAATTAGAAATCTGAAACATATTGTCGGGAATCTTCAGGATACTATTAAAAAACCCAACATTCGGGTTCTAGGAGTTCCTGAAGGCATGGAGAGGGAGAAAGGATTAGAAGGCCTTTTTAGTGAGATATTAGCAGAAAATTTCCCAGGTTTGGAGAAGGACAGAGACATCCTAGTACAGGAAGCCCACAGAACCCCTAATAAACACGACCAAAAGAGATCCTCACCACGACACGTTGTAATTAAACTCTCCACAGTGAAACATAAAGAAAAGATACTAAAATGTGCAAGAGAGAAACGTCAGATTACTCTCAGAGGATCTCCAATCAGACTCACAGCTGACTTCTCATCAGAAACTCTAAAAGCTAGGAGGGAATGGCGAGATATAGCCCAGGTACTAAGAGAGAACAACTGCCAGCCCAGAATATTATATCCTGCAAAGCTATCATTTGTGAATGAAGGTGAAATAAAGACTTTTCATTGCAAACAGAAATTGAAAGAATTTGTTGCCACTCGTCCAGCCCTGCAAAAGATGCTTAAAGATGTGTTACACACAGAAACACAGAAACACGGTCATCAATATGAAAGAAGGTAAAGGAAGGAAACCAAGGAAGGAAAGCTCACAGCAAAAGATCACAGGGAATTCAAAGCATATATTAGAACTTATCTTTGGCAAATGGCAGGGCAAAGTTACCACTTATCATTAGTCACTTTGAACGTGAATGGCCTGAACTGTCCAGTTAAAAGACACCGATTGGCTGATTGGCTTAAGGAACAAAACCCATCTATTTGCTGCTTACAAGAAACACATCTTTCCACACAAAGATCCATACAGACTGAAAGTGAAAGGC